TAAACATGTAAAGTAAACTTTTTTTTTTTTTTATTCTTTTGTTAAAACTTTTTTTTTAAACAATTTTTTTTTTAATGGCTAGTTCACAAAGTTTAAATTTTTTTGTTTATAAAAAACAATTTTTTTTTTTTTTTTTCAACAAAATTAATTAATTAATACTTCGTCAAGTTTTTAAATAAGTTCATAATAAAAAAAAAAAAATAAAAGAATTCGACAAAGGATGTGTGACGTCAAAATTTTTATAAACAACAAAATATATTTGATGACGTCAAAAAAAAAAAAGGCGTTTACGATTTAATAAAAAAATAATTATTAAATGCGTTTAAAAAATTAAATTCGTCTGCTTTTGTTTTTAAAAATTAAATTAAAATGTTTTCTTTGATTTGTTTTGTTTGTTTTTGTTTTGCGAGGGGAGAGGGGAGGAGGAGGAGGAAGAGGAGGGGTGCTTAATTGTTTATTCATTTTCCAAATGTTTTAAATTTGAAAATTCAATGTTTGATTACGTTATTAAAAGTTATTATTATTATTATTATTATTATACTTCAAAGAATCCCTAATTATGCGAATTGTATAATAAATTAAATTTTTGTTATTCGTAATTGATATTCTTTGAATTTGATAAAATAATTTCCCCCCTCCCCCGACTTCCGTTTCCGTTTCTTTCCCTCGACTTCCGTTTCCGCTTTTTTTTTTTTTTGCATGCGTATCACTTTAAACGTACATTTTGAGCCTTATAAAATAAAATTCAATATAATATTAATTTTGGTTTATATAACCGACAACGACCTCACGAATTAATTTAAATCAAAAACGGCTTTCGCCATCCGAAAATTAATTTTAATTTTCCTCACGGGTTTCTTTTTTTTTTTTTTTATTTAAAATGAATATCAGGTATCGACCTTAAAACAATTGTAAATGAAAATTAGGTCATGTGTATATATATTTTTTTGGCCAATATCATCGGTTTCTTTTTTATTCTCGATCGGTTTTTGTGAGTTGTTTAGCCGGAAGGTTAAAAAAAAAAAAAATGGCCGACCGTATTAGGACAGCAAAAATTTTTAACAAAAGAATTAAATAATTTCGACCTCGACTCCTTAAATTAAATGTGGTCCGTTCTGATAAAAAAAAATTATTCTTTTATTTTCAGGTACAATTATGAAACGTGTTGTTATTATCGATAAGTCGTCTTCGAAGTGAGATATAAACACAGGCACACGTGCACACGTGCAAATTCGTTTTGTCTTATTGGAGGATATGAGGCAATAAACAATGGGATGCACGCCTAGTGCGCATCACTCGCTATCGGGAAACATACAAACATATGAAAACGACAGAGAAATCGGAGGTTGCGATCAAAATAAAAACAACAGCAATTTTATCACACCTGAAAACCATGAAAAAACAGGTATGTGATAAGCAATCAAATAATTTTTCTTTTTTATTATTATTATTATTATTATTAATACTATCAATGACGATTACGTTCTGGAATTATCATTTCCTTCCAAAATGCCAACCGAATTAATAATAATAATAATAATAATAATAAAATTTTTATGGATGAAATGGATTTTTATTACCGAAAGAAAAAAGAAAAGAAAATTCGAATCAAAACGATTTTATTCTTTTGGTTTTTCTTCTTCATCTTTTTTTTTTTTTTTTTTTTGTCTTTTCAATTATTATGATTTGTTCGAGTGAAAAAAAAGAAAAGGTTGTAAACCTTTTGTCGTGTGATCACGTGGTACAATGGGGCGGGGAACGTAGTAATTTTTTTTTTTTTTATTAGTAGTAATCAATAAAATATTTTTCGATGCAATTAAAATCGATAATCCAGTAAAAGGTGCGAGCGAGAATTAAATGAAAAGATTATTATTATTATTATTATTATTGTTATTTTCCATCAGATTTTCGCGTGAGATGAAATTAAGTAAACAAAAGATAAAAGCATATCGGAAAAAATAATACGAAAACCTTGGTGGAAATTTTATCTACCGAAAAAAAAAAAAAAAAGATAACCGAAAATCAAGCTCGGAAAATTTTTTTGTATTTTTTTAATTATAATTTATAAAATTAAGAGAGAGAGAGAGAGAGAGAGAGAGAGATGTGTGTGTGTGTGCGTAGAAATGCGTGCGAATACTAATTTACGTTTAATGTTCGATTAATGACTATTTTACACGTAATTGATTATGGAAATTACCTTTTTGACATATTATTATTATTATTATTATTATTATTTCGTCGCATTCTCCAGCGAGACTCTAAATCTTTTCCGATACTCCCAATAATAATAATAATATTAATAATAATTATTATTATTAATATTATAATTAATATTGTCACGAATAATGTGAAACCATGTTTAATCTCATTAATATTTTTTTTTATTTGTTTATTAAATTTGTTATGAAATAAATTAATTGTTTGTAGAATGATGAGAGGGAGAGAGGGGGGTGGAAATAGGGGTAGGGGTAGAGGGTAGCATAAAGGGAAATAACGAAAACGAAACGTAAAAAAACAATTATTTACATCCCTTAGCCAATGAAAAATTAATAAATGAAATTAATTATTAATTAGAATTAAAAGCCGACAAAAATAAAATAAACGTGGGAGAAGAAATAATAAAACGCGGAAATGGTGCCGGAAATGTTGGGAAGTGGGGGGCGGGGGGTAATTCCTTCAAACGATCGGGAATTTTTTTTTTTTTAGTTTAAAAATTATTATTTTCTTGTTAATATGGCGAAGTCACAAAAAAAAACAAAAAATTGTTTATTTAATTTTCATAAGGTTTAAAAGACATAGACGTAATCGTTTGTTATTTATTTGACAAACAACAACAACAACAACAACAATACGACAAACGACGATATTGTCTTATTACATAATACATTAAATTTTTTTTTTTTTTATCACGCTCACACGTCAGTTTAAAATTTTTTATCTTTCAGGTTGCGGTTGGCGAAAAAAAACAGAAAAGAAAAAAAATTCAATTTTTTCGTCAATATCATCATCAAAAGACGCGCTGGAAAATTTAAAAAATGTAAGTTAATAAAAATATTAATAATTTTTTTATAAATCGAAATCGATATCGATGGTTCGATATTCGATATTCGATTTTTCTAATTTATTACGTCATCATTTTATTAATTTCGGTATAGACAGGGGTAAAACGCGACGGCGTAAAAAAACAAAAAAAAATTTTTTTTAATATTTATTTATTTTAAATTTATTATCGGTCATATATTATTATTATTATTATTATATATTATTATCCACCATTAAACACGACAAGGCTACTTGTCGGAGTTTTTAAGTATTTATCCGAGGTTTCTACCCGATTCCTTAGGGACAAATACTCGAATTTCGGTGGTGCCACTTATTATAAGATAGCACCACATCAATTCTTGAAGGTCTTCCTGAGTCCGTCTTTTTCGATGGGAACGATTTGTCTCCTGAACTGGGCTCCGGTGACTAACATCTTTGGAGTGGCCAGGGTCAGAAGCAGTGAAATTCACGTTCTCGTCGAGCTGCCTCAGGTCGACAGGAGAACAAGATTTGTTTTTTGGTTCTTACTTTGTCTTGTTCTCATTTTTTTTTTTTTTTTTTTTCTCTTTTAAGCCAACAGCACGTGGCGTTCTCAAACGGTCACCCATCCAAGTTTGCACCACGCCCGATGCTGCTTAACTTCGGTGATCGTACGGGAACCGGTGTGACCAGCACGCTATGGCCGTTGGCTTATTATTATTATTATTATTATTATTATTATTATTATTATTATTTTAAAAATTTTCCTTTTTTTGTTTAAAAGTTTTTTTGTTTTTGTACTCGAAGGAAAAGGAAAACGTAAAAGAAAACTAATTAATAATTGACTTTCATAACGTTTTTTAATTATTATTATTATTATTAGTTCATGTTTTTGTTATGCTTTTTGTAGGGGGGCGGGGGGCCGTAAAGAAACTAAAAGCAATTTAAAATAGCTTTTATTTTCCAAAAAGTTTAACTTTAATTTAAATAACCTTAGGTACGGTCAATTATTATTTATTTAACAAAAAAAAAAAATTTTCCGATCGATTCGAAAGACAAATATATATTGTCGAAAAAGAGAGAGAGAGAGAGAGAGAGAGAGAAGAAAATTTTAAAACATTTACAAGAAACGTGGCAGGAATTAAAAAAAAAAAAAAAAAAAAAAAAGGAAAATTTTTTAAAAGGATGAAAGAAAATCTTTACGTGATTATAAGGAAAAATATTCGATTTGACATTTATGACGTGTTTTTATTTATAATCTTATGACGAATATTAAGAAGAAAATCTTTTCATTCCCAAATCCCAAAGCAGAAGAAAAAAAAAGAAAATTTTTTTAACATAAAATATCTTGAAGGATTTCTCCTCATTCATTAAATTTTTTTTTTTTTTTTTCCTAGGGTCAAATTAAGGATTATTTTTGTAATTCTTCACCGGGATTTAATTTGATCCCGTAAAAAAAAAAAAATTTGATTCGGACAAAATCCCAAATTAATTTATTTTAATTAAAATTATACATCCTTCCTATTATTATTATTATTTTTTTTTTTTACAGAGCGATGCCGGTTACGGAACCTTGGGTGGAATCAACCAAAGTTCTTGTAAGGTAAGTTTTTCTTTTTTAAATTTTTAATTTTCCCGCCAAAAATTTCATTTTAAAAAAATTGACGATATCAAATAAAAGTTATTATATAATAATAATAATAATAATGATAATACAACGCAACAAGTCATTAAATCATCATATTAATTAATAAAAAGGGGGAAAAACGGTTTCAAATTTTATCATTTTTAATAAATTTGATATTTTTATCCTTCCGGTTATTTGTTTGTCGTTTGTCGTTTGTTGTTGTTTGTTTGCGAGGAGACGATAAGAAAAATTTTATTTTATAAGTTTTCATTCTTCTTTTCATTTCAACCCTTCAACCCTCTCCCCTAGCCTATCCTTTTTTTGTAATTCGTTGAAAAGAAAACTAACGGGAATGGGATGGGGGCGGGGTGGGAAATTTTTTTTCTTATTTTTAAAGATTCTTATTGGATTTCCCAAAGACGACCCGATATTAGAAAATTTAATTCAAGCATCGGAAAAACTCGGTTACGAATGTACGACGTGCAATTGCCCAGAGACCATCGTTGACGTTTACTCACAAGTCGGCCATGACATTGTTATTCTCGATAATCGAAACGTTAAATATTTAGATGCTCCCGCAATTTGTAGGTGAGTAACTTACATTAAATCATTATTATTATCATTAGTAATAACAATAATAATAATAATAATAATAATAATAATAATAATTTAAACATAAATTTTTGTAGTTTTATTTTTCATAAGCTAAATATAAAACAAGAAAATCATTCCAACAAAAAAGAAATTTTATTATTATTATTATTATTATTAATTTAAAAAAGTTTGACGTCATAGGAAAAAAGAGAGAGAGAGATAGAGATAGAGTGTGAAAGAGAGAGAGAGAGAGAAAAAAAATTTTTTTAAAAAAACATAAAAACTTTGATTAACTTATAAACATTTGAAAAAATAATAATAATAAGGAGATGATGATGATGATGATGCGTTTATGTGTTAAGAAGAAAATGGAAAATTGTCGTGTATCGATTTTCCATTTTTCTTTTTTGTTCTAGAAGCTTTCCCGAAAGGAAAGTAAATCGAAAGTTGTTTTAAAAAAATGAATTCGTACAAAATAAATTAAAATAATATTTATATTAAAATTTTATAAGAATGATCATCACGATGAGAATTTTCCTCGTGAAAATTTTTCCTTTTTTTTTTTTTTTTAACAAACGAAACGTTCGTGACGTCAAAAAGAAAAAGAAAAATTTTCTCGAAAACGAAGTAATAACGTAAACATCACCCTTAAAAAAAATTTTCACTTTTTTTTTATTTTTTTTTTCCAGGAAAATAAGAAGGTCAAAATGGAACAGAAAATCCGTAGTGGTAGCCATTGTAAAAAAAAGGTTCGTTTCCCCCCCACCATATATATTTTTTATAATAATAATAATGATGATGGTAATACAATAAATAAGCTAAATTAAAATTTTCTTTTTTCTTTTTTTTTTTTTTCAGTTATTTCGAAGATTCGTACTGTTTGCCACTTCTAAATGCAGGATTCAATAGGGTAAGTTAAAATTATTATTATTATTATTATTTCAAAGGATTTTCCGGGAAGTTTAATTTGGGGGAGGGGAAACGGAAATGATTTTAGTTTGAGTAAACAAAACAAAAACAAAACAGAAAAAAATTGTTTTTAAAAAACGATTCGACATATTTATTTTATTTAATTCAAATCACGTTTGATGTAATATACTGAGAGAGAGAGAGAGAGAGACAGAGAGAGAGAGAGAGAGAGAGAGACAGAGAGAGAGAGAGAGAGAAAAAAAATTTCTCGAATGTTTTAATTAAAAAAAAAAAAAAGGAGGGAAAATTTGATTTGTTTTGTGTTTACGTTTAAAAAATTATTATTATTATTATTTTTTTTTGTTTTATTTGTTTTGACGAAAAAAAAGTTTTTCTTTTTATTTATTTATTTATTTATTTACGTCATCCCTTTTGTTTTTTTTTTTTTTCGTACGTCCCGAATAATTTATTTTCTGGATACTTTCATATGTACGAAAATAAAATTTGTTTGTCAATTTTTTTGCTCCCTCTCGTTTAATCTTTATTTTTCCATTTTTATTTTTTTTCTCTCTCCTCCCTCTCCTCCTTCTTCCCCCTCCTCCCGGGAAAAAAAAAAAACTAAAACGTGTGGCCCCTGGGGAAATTTTTTTTTTTTTTTTTTTTATCATTAAAATCCTTTTCGTCGACATGTCAATTTTTTTTTTTTTTTTTTCCTTTTTTATTTGTTTCCATTTTTCCACAAGACATTTTATTTTTATTTTGTAAAAATTTAAAATAATTTTTTTTTTTTTTTCGTATTTGGCCTGTCACGATGATTTGAAAAGCGAAAGAAAAACGGGGAGGGAGGAGGGATGAGGGAGAGGAGGAGGGTAAAGAAAATTGACCCGGATTTTTGTTTTGTGTTTTAGTGTTTAATAGAAACGCCAAACGTTGGAATTTTAATAAACGAACTCACAGAAATTGAACATGGCGAAGTGAGGCCAAGAATTTCAGTCACAAATGCAAATGCATTATATATAGCATTGTCAAAGTGTAAGGATCTCATTCAAGTCACGGATGATTCATTCAATTTATTATTCGTTAATAAAGCAACGGAAAATTTTTTGGGTATTAAAAATGAGGATGTTAAAGGGAAACCCATATCGGAAATACATCAGACGACGGATCATCATAATCAAATGACTTATTTACTAAGTAGAGGAAAAGAATGGGAAGGTTCCGTGACGTGTATTAGAAAAACTGGTGAACCTATACCTTTAATTTGCAGAGTCGTGAGTTCATCTCTTAATAGCAGGTACCTTAAGATAATTATAGAAGTAATTTTTCCCCCGTATTTCCGGTTTGTTTTCTAACGTATTTCCGTTTTTAGAAACATAACGAATTATATATTTATCGAAGAGCAACCCGTGTCGGAAACGGGTATCACATTTAAAGATCAACCACCCAGAGGTAGTCTTCATTCAATACGTAAAGGATCATACGATGTCAAATCTCTTGCAAGTGATAGCGGACAATCTATAAGACGACAAAGTCTTGCCAAACTTAATTCACTTCCAATCGAAGCTCCGATAACTAAAATCATAACACTTTTATATTCCGTACACGAACAATCGTCCGGACATGTTCAATTACAGATAGAAAAAGTTTTAGACATACTCAGATCGACAGAATTATATTCACCACAGCTCAAAGAAAATAGAATTCGTATGGATGATCCTATAACGGCTGATCTCATAAGCGCATTACTATCCGTTAGTGTTGATTTTAACGTTAATTCCATCCGCCATTTTGATATTTTAACTCATTTAATTTTCTTCGGTTGTAGCAAGGCAATGCTGCGACGTCAACAACGCGAAGAAGTTCAAACGATTCGGCCAATATAAAAGGTTCCGGTACTTCTAGGCCATCTTTACCGTCTATTAATGCACCCGGTCAATTATCGTCAGTTTTAGAACAATCTCTCGATTGGGAATTCGATATATTTAAACTCGAAGAATTATCGAATCAAAGACCGTTGGTTTGGCTCGGAATGAATCTTTTGTGTCATTTCAACGTCCAAGACACTCTCGGATGCGAGGAAAAAACTTTAATGAATTGGTTAACCGTTGTAGAAATGCATTATCATTCTATAAACACTTATCATAATTCTACTCATGCTGCTGACGTCATGCAAGCATCAGCATGTTATTTGAAAAGGGAAAAACTATCAGAATTGTTGGATCCTTTAGACATGGCGTGCGTTTTGATAGCCGCTTGCTGTCACGATATCGATCATCCAGGAAAATCCAGCATATTTTTATGTAATTCAAATCACGATCTTGCCATATTGTATAACGATCAATCCGTTTTAGAATCCCATCACGCGGCTATGACGTTTAAATTGACATTAGCTGACGATCGAGTTAATATATTTAAAGGTTTGCAGAAAAAAAACAATAATCTCTCATCGAGTAATCCATAAATAATAATAATAATAATAGTTTTCCTTTTACGTTCGTTCCAGGTTTAGAAAGAGACACGTATAAAGTTGCTCGACAAAGTATAATCGATATGATATTAGCGACGGAAATGACGAGACATTTTGAACATTTGGCAAAATTCGTTAACGTATTTACAAAACCTGATCCGAAAGAAGAAAATGGGGGGGGATCCGTGGGTGATTTATTAGACGTGGGAAATTTTCAAACTCAGGAAAATATCGCTTTGGCGAAACGAATGTTGATCAAATGTGCTGACGTGTCGAATCCAACGAGACCATTAAAACAATGCGTTGAATGGGCAAAAAGAATTGCAGAAGAATATTTCAACCAGGTATTATTATTATTATTATCCTTATTTGAGTCCTTAAGGTAAATTTTGTAAAATTTTATAGACGGATGAAGAGAAAGCAAACGGACTTCCGGTTGTTATGCCAATGTTCGATAGATCGAGTTGCTCAATACCAAAGTCTCAAATCGGTTTTGTTGATTTTATTATAAACGACATGATGGAAGCTTGGGATTCATTCATTGAACTTCCAGAAATTTTATATTATTTACGTAGCAATTATCAATACTGGAAAGAAAAGGAAGAACAAGGGGTTACGAGTATAAACGAATTATATCCATTTAATAATAATAGAATCGAATTACTTAAAGAATTAGACGAATCAAAGGCTGATTAAACCGAAAACAAACAAAAAATTTCTATTTTTATGTAAAATCTAATATAAATATTATTTATAAAATTAATAACTCGCGTATTATTATTATTATTATTATTATTAAAATTATTATTATTATTATTATTATTATTATTAATTATTTATTTTACGGAAAAAATTAATGTATTTAATGTTTTATATATAAAAATTTTTCTTTTATACGTCTCTCATATTTGCCTTAAATATTTATTCTTTCTTTTTCTGTCTCTTTTTAATAAATTGTACGTGTTTTTAAATTTTAAATCAAAGGAGGAGGAGGAGGAGGGGGGAAAGAGGAAAAGAAATTTTCTTTTGTTTGTTTTAATTGTAAATTAAATGTTTGTAAAAAATAATAAATAAATAAAACTTTAATGTGTTGTTGTTTAATAATAATAAAAATTTATAAATAAATTATTTGTACGTGTCGATAATTTATTATTATTATTATTATTATTATTCCGTTATGGGTAGTAAAGACGAGAGGATTTTGTTTAAATGAGAAAAAAAAAGGTTTGGATCGTAAAACTTTCTGTCATTTTTCCATTTTCTCACCTCTCGTGATTAAATTAAAATTTTTTTTTTTTAAAGCAGAAAGTAGTATTTGAATTTAAAAGAAAAAAAAAACAAATGAAAGAGGTTTCTTTTTAAAAAAAAAAAAAATTAATAATAATAATAATAACAACAACAACAACACGAAATGTGTTGTTTAATAAAAAATTATTTAAATTAATTGGTCGTAAATTTTAATCCTTATAACCCCTTTGTTTTTAATCGAAATTTTTGTGTGATTTATATTTTATATAACATGGCTAACAGAAAGGGAAAATACTGCATGATGTCGGCCGAAGACGAAGAAAAAATTAATTATTTAATGCCGGATATTGTATTAGCCGTTGAAGCTTTACAATTAGCAACGGCCGATAGAATCGGTCAATGCTTAGACGAATGCGATATAAAAGCAACACCGAGTCAAATATTAATGGCGTTAGAATATGGTTGTAAACTTGGTCTTATGGAAGAAAGAACTCGTTATCGTTTGAATCCAGAATTGATTTGTCGGACAAATTGTTTTGTTGAATGTTGCGAACCACCCATTTGTAAAGATATACCACCTTGTTGTCAGCCAAAGGAAAAAAAGAGAAGATGTGATGACGACTGTGATGATGATTGATTGATTGATTGATTTTTTAATGGCTGACAATATTTTATTAAATGTTTTTTTTCTTTTTTTGTGCAGTAATTTCTTGTTTTCTTTTTTTTTTTTTTTTTTATGTAAACATCAATGAACTATAATTGAACTAATTTTAGATAAGTAAATATATTTATATATAATTTTATTGTTTACAAATTTTCTCATTTGATTTAATTCATTCATTCATTCTAATAATTAAATTAAAAATCTTTCGTCTATTAATGTTTTTTTTGCTAAATTTTTTCTACCGCCTAAATCACGTACAACGACTAATAAATGACTAAAAAAACCCGTTACGATACTCGCCGTTAAATAATCTTGGAATAAAACGAGAATAAATGAAAATAAAATTACGTCGAATGTTAATAAAGAAAATTCATTTCCGTAAAATAAAATTGAATCGAATGAATGACCGTTATCCGAATAGAAAATTCCTTTTTCTCCAGAATCGCCAAATTCTATCCCTAGTAAATATTCGGTAAATAATTTTTCTCTAACTTCGTAATCGAGATCTTTTAATGCCTGTAAATTAAAAATTTTTTTTTATTAATTAATTGATGTCGATGTCCGCATTTCCGTTTCCGTTTTTTTTTATTAAATAGTAAAATTTACGTGTTCTAAATAAGCAGATAAAAATCTATTCATGTTTTTATATGCTTCCACGCTTCTATCAACGGTTTCATTTTTTATTTTTGATCTTTCTGTCGAATTACTCGCCGGTAATCTTTTGACAGCTTTCGACATCTTAAATATAATTAATTAATTAATTAATTATCGTTAAAAAAATAATAAATTGGAGGAAATTCCATAATTTGTACATTTTTTAATGGCGCCAAAGCTTTTCTATAATAAGCTCTCAATTGTGTCGGTACCGTCATTTCGAATGTTTGCTGTTCTGAACCTGGTAAAAGTCCTCTGTATCCAACCAAATTTTCTTCTTCTCTTTCCAACTGACATAAAATATTTTCCATGTTCGTGTCTGCAAATCCATGTGCCGACCTGTAACCACAAAAACAAAAACATGTATGCGAGTTGGAGTGTGTGTGAGGGAACTATCATCATTATTATTTTCACACCTTCCGTGTATGTAAAATCCATAATTTTCCAGTGCTAATATAAAAACGCTTATGTTTGCCATGGAACAAACGTCAACAAATTGTTGTATTCCATCTTTTATGTAACGCTCGTGAAAAAACCCAACGTAAAGTCTCTGTAAAAATAATTTATTTACTTAATTAATGGGATAATTAAATAAATAAATAATAATAATAATAATAAAAATGATTTTCCGTACCTGTAAAATGTAAATAAATAAAAAAACTAAATTTCCAACAGCAAAAAAACAGGTAAAACTAAAATCGTTATTATCGTGGAGTGAAGAAGATTTTATAATGTAAAGTTCTGGACTTGATGATGACCAATTTTCCAATTGAATTATCTTTTTTTTTTTTTATTACAACAAATAATTTAATTAATTAATTAATTAATTAAAATTTATTTATTTGAAGTAAAGAATACCTTTAAAATAAAAATGGTTATTATTAAATGTATGTAAACGTTTATTTTTCTTTTCGTTTGTATTTCGTTCCATTCGTTAGCAACAAAATACGTTCTCCATATGCTTATCGGTTGTTCTTCATCCGTTTCCGTTTGACCTCCGACCCTTGGCACGACATTTCTCGCTCTCGGTCTTTCCCAATCGATAAAAAATACGTCAATCGAGATTTGATTGTATAGTAATCGACCGATTTCGACAACCTGGAAAAAAATTTTTACTTTACGTAAAAGTTTTCAAAAAAAAATTTTTTAAACGTGATATGACGTCACCTTTAGTACAAAAGCAAATATTATGTATAATTTCATATCCGTTTCCTGATTTTCTCGCGGTAAGAGAACGTGAATGACACTTTGACCTTTGAAAAACACGAAAAAATTCAAACAAGCACAAAAAATAATAAAAAAAAAAACGTTGGCCAAATTTCCACACGTGAATATCAAAAGGTTTAAAACTGTTAGAAAATCAATAGCGACTCTTCCAGAACGTTTTGTGTGACTCCATGTTTGAATTCCTGACCAGACAACGGCTAAACCGCTGAATACGCCCATGTATACCTTAAAAAATTCCCAAATTAAACGATGTGAAAAAAGAAGGAAAAGGAAAATTATTAAACACGATACCTCTAAGGTATGAGAAAAACTATTTTCTATTTCGTAATCAATTTTGAAAAAATGTTTGACCGAATTTCCCCGCGTTACTTCTTCTCCAGTAAATTCTCCATATTCGATTTCCAAATAAGGTACGTATATTTTTCCACTGTTGTCGTTTCCTACGAGTCTAACTTTCAACGTGATCGATTTGGCATAACGGGTCACTTTAGGTATGAGACTTTGATTTTGACCCTCTACCTGTTCGACTCCACTGATTTTATCTACAAGAAAAAATCTTCTCACCAGTTGCCATTGCATTTGATCGCTCACCCTGTTGGAAATCGTTCCCTCATTTTTAATATTTAATATTAAAATTGGAATGGCGTAAAGTAGTTCTTCATCTTCTTCTTTGTAAGATAGGAAGACGTCGATAAATTCCGTTTCTTTCGATAAGAGTTGTTCGACTGGAATTTCGCATGTTTTAGAATATTTCGAAGCAAATCGAAAACTCGATTTAAGTTTCCAGAGACTCGGACAAAGTTGCAAAGTATGTTCGAATATTTTTCCAACTCCTTTTAACCTTCCGTCTGGATAATAAATAATTCCAGTCAAGTTAAGATGATTCATCTGGAATTTTTTATTTTTATTATTATTTCCACTTTTTTAATTTAATCGTAAAATGATGATTCCGTGGAAAACTCACGACTGATTCGGGATAAAGATTGAATTGGGTTGATATTTTTTTCCTGGATAATATGGTCGATGCTTCTCCTTCGCTGTAATATATCCAGGGAATAATTTTCCTTTCCGAAATCCTATTCTTTTCTGTAAATATCGTACATGGACCCGATTTCACTTCTTCTTCTTCTTCTTCTTTATACAATAACATGACACACATATTAGCTACCGATTGACAAGCAGTTTGATTACCCATCTGGAAAAAAAAAACAGGACATCGACTTAAAATTATTAAAAAAAAAAAATTACTTTTTCACGAACATACTAACTTTGCATAGAGTGACGTCACGAATAAGATTATCCTTAAAAAATTTCGACTCGACTTTAATTCCATTTTCGTATGTGATTCCGTATATATTTTTTTCTCCGGATGAATTTTCGAGAACATTCGAAACGCAATATCCTTCAACATTTATCTGTCCTTTGTCACACTCGCATTTAGGTTGTCCAGTAGCGAAAAATCTTTTACAAGGTAGACATTGATTTAACGAATGAGAAGGTATCGTTCCTGGAATACATTTGGTACAGACAGCCTCCGATCTGAGTGTACCATTAACGTATCTTTCTTCTAAAAAAAAAAAAAAAACAGTAAAAAAATTTAATAAATATATTTATTTATTTAATAAAAATTAATTAAAGTACACAATAAATCATTCGATTTTTCTTTTATTTTTTAAAAAGAGTAACGTAATAAAAAAAAAAATCAATTTTTTTTTTTTTTTTTGAATTTTTCACAGCTTACTATAAAAAAAAAAAAATTTTACATATATTTAAACAAAACATAAATTAAATAATGGTTACTTTTATTAAAAAATTTAAAAATACATTGAAAATAATTAAAAAATTATATTTATTGAATTTTGAAGTTTGAACCCAAAAAAAAAAAAAAAAAGGGAAAAAGAAAAAAAAAAAAAAAAGAAAAACTCATACCGAAAAAAAAAAATAAATAAATAAATTAAATTAATTAGTTTATTCAAAGTCGTTATTTTGAAATGAAAACTACGTGTAAGTAGACAATCATTTTGTATAAAAACTAACTTCGATAAATTCCGTTAAAAAACAATCAAAATAATTTTTTTGAAAATTGAGAAAAAACGTATACAGAAAAAAAAAAAAATTTTTTTATAGAAATATTCTATTTATTAACCTCGTGCATTTGTTTTTTTTTTTTTTTTTTTAAAAAACTTTCAACGGTAAAAAATTACATTTTATTAAAATTTATAATTAAAAGATAAACATTTATTTGTTTGTTTATTATTATTATTATTATTTTTGTTTTTAGGTTTTAATATTGTAAGTGTCGTCATCAGGAAAAAAAATTTCTAAATTTGAACCTTTGCAAAATCATCATCATCATCAGTATTAATAATTGAAAATTGAGAGTAGAAATTAAAATGAAATTTAAACAATATTTTATTTGAATAATTTTTAAATATCATTTAAAGAACGTTTTTTTTTTTTTTTTTTACAAATGAAGGTATGTACAGGTACTACAAATACGAAGTATAAATTGTATTAATATGTATTAAAAGTTTTTTTTGTCTTTTTTTTACTTATTAAAAGGAGAAAGACAATTCGAAAGTTGTTGTTGTTGTTGGAAAAAATTGTCGTTTGGCTGTTTTTACATAAACCGGATATTATTGTTGCTTCAAAAGGAAATATACATCCAAACAAATATTTCAAATAATTTTTCATCTAACAAATAATGCCGACAAAGGTAATTCAATTCATTTAAATATGTTTAATCATATTCCTCTCCTTCTTCTAATCAGGTAATTGTTATAATTACTTATTTTAGTACTTATTTTAGTATTTTAAGTAAAACGCGAAATTATTTTGTCACAGTTTAGTATAATGTTAGTAATTCTACATTATTATAAATTAGGTGCATTTATAACAATATTTGTGCACAAGTTTTACTTTTAAGCATTACTTTGGAAATGTAAAAACTCATTGTTTAGTTTTTTTTTTTCTAAATCAATTTAAAGAATTTTTCTCGTTTTCCACGGGTAGTAGTATTCGTTTGGTTTTTTAATAAGAAATTTATGAAAATTAATTCTAAATTGAAACTTTAGTTCATAAAAACGTTTTCAATTCTTACCATTGAACCAGGTTTAATTTTCTCTTTTTCTTAATATTGAACAAATTAATTAAACTTGAATATATTTTCACGAAAATGTTTAAATTATTAATAGGCAACTACTACAACTAAATAAATTTCTGTGTTAAATTAATTATAAAAAAAAAAAAAAAAAAAACTTTAAATGCAGAAAAAAGTTGTCATTATCATTCATCACGTTCATATTAATTGTATTTTTTTTTTCAGTTGTATTTTAATAGCTTAGTTTTTTTTTTTTTTTTTTAAATTTAATAAAAGTTTACATTGAATACAGACCTAAAATACTATCAGATGAACATTGAAAATTTGTGCAATTAATGGAAGAATTTGTACTGCTTTTGGGGCAAAAAATACAATTTGTTTGATCTTGAGTCGGTATTTCATTTTGTTTGCATAACTGACAAACTGGAATAAAACCGAGACCTGATTTTTTTATTATGCTTCTATTATTACAAACGCACGACAAGCCTAAAAAATGAAAAAGAAAACGGTTGAATTTCATCAAATTTTTATTCTTACTTTAATAATTACAGAGTATCTTACCATCGTGAGAAGGAATTAAATTTTTTTTTGCGTCACAAGTTAAGCATTTTAATTGATTTGAATTAAAATATTCATCCGAACTGCAATCATTTGTCGAATAATATTTTAATATTTCTTCACTGTTCAAAGTGACTGAAGTAACAGTTTGAAATAAAACTCGAATTAAAATAAAATAAAAAACAAAAAAGTTTAATAACATTATACTTAAAGTAGACGCACAACTGAAAAAAAAGTTTACTAAAGCTTATTCTAATTACACGACACATTTGTTTTGAAATGGTTGCCTTGGTAACCGTGCGCCAAAATGTAATTTATAACGGAAATTTTTACCTCCTTTTTCAAAATGGACATTAAACTCATTAATAATGATAAATTTTAACAAAAAAAAAAAAAAATAGTCAAATTTTTATCTATAAATCGTCTCTTTAATATATATATATATAAATCTAAATTTATTATTATTATTATTATTAAATAGTTTATTTTAATTGCTATTATAAATTAAACCAAACACAATTACTTTTTACATGAATAAAAATTTTAGGATTCGGATGGAGCTGTGGGTCCTGATGTTGAAAAAAATCATCCTAAGCCTGGAGTAAAATCAAAAGATGAAACAGAAGAAAAATTACAACCGGAAAAAAAGCTAACAGTTTTAGAAACACATGGATACACTTTAGGAAAAACAATTGGAACAGGATCATATGCAACAGTAAAGGTAAAGCTCAATACTGTCAATACCTAGCTGGAAATAAACCCATAAAATTTTCCAAAAATAGGTAGCACGATCAGAAAGACATGATTGCCTTGTGGCAGTGAAAATCGTATCAAAATTTCAAGCTCCTGCAGATTATTTAAAAAAATTTCTCCCCAGAGAAATAGAAGTCGTTAAAGGATTGAAACATATAAATTTAATAAGATTTTTACAAGCTATAGAAACCACACACAGGTAAGACAGTTTACAAGTCACAACCGTTTAAAATTGTCCTCTGATGGAAGAATTAAAAAATTGATTCCGTAATTAGTCCTCCATTTTTTTGTTTTTTAGAGTCTACATAATAATGGAATATGCTGAAAATGGAAGTTTACTTGACGTAATAAGAAAAGATCAGTATATAGACGAAGTTAGAGCCCGAAAATATTTCAGACAATTAATAGACGCTGTGGATTATTGTCACGAAAGAGGAGTGGTGCACAGGTAGTGAATAAAAGTAACACGACAAATGAAAATTGAATCCAAACTTTTTAATATTTCTTTAATGTTTTTTTTAATTAAAATTACCTATAAAATAATTTAGGGACATAAAATGTGAAAATCTTTTAATGGATCATGATAACAATGTTAAACTTTCTGATTTTGGATTTGCAAGAGGTCACATGCGCATAAAAAATGGAGTCGCGCCATTAAGTGATACCTTTTGTGGTAGCTATGCTTATGCCTCACCTGAAATATTAAAAGGTGTACCATACCAACCTCAACTCTCAGATATATGGTCCACTGGTGTCGTTCTTTATGCCATTGTATACGGTAGATTACCGTTCGATGATACTAATTATAACCAACTTCTAAAAGTAAAACATCCATCTTGTGTTTTTCTTAAAATGAAAACCAATAAAATTACTTTTTAAACCATCTTTTTTTTTTTTTAGCAAGTACAGAGTAAAATTTCATTTCCCAAAGAACCTAAAATATCAGCTAATTGTAAGTCGCTTATAACTAAAATTTTGGCTCCGGTAAAATTTCGACTGAAAATTCCCGCCATACGATCGGATCCATGGTTTGTTCAAGGACCATCAGATTCTTCTGCAAACGGCCCTCAAGGATCGGTAACATCCTACTTTTCATTTTCCATCACGACTATAAAAAGAACAGATCAGCAAATAAATAAAAAATTAACGATATTGTTAACATATTTTGCGTTTTCTTCAGGAGGATACAATTCCATCAACCAGATCTGATCGATCGTCCAGTGATGGTACCCCAGTACAGTTGGTAACCAAAGAAGCTCTTAAAGCTAATTCTAGTAAGCCGGATAAAGTACGAAGTTCAACAGAAGAATATCCTTTAGAAACGACGGGTCCACGTACTAGAAGCAATAGCAGAGTCACCGATTGATAGTTTTCATTAAAAAAAAAAAAAACATTATTTAACCATCCCGTGTCTTTGACGCCCAATTAAATTCATTTTAAATAAAAATTTCTACATTTTAAGTTTTAATTAATTTTAAAACCTTAGTTTTTTTTATTATTTTAATAAAAATTAAGATATCAATTGACCTGTATTTGAGAGAAAAAAAAAAAAAAATTTATTGCTAAAAATTTAAAATGATGATTATTTAAAAAATTAGCACTTTCAAATTATACAATTCCTTCTTAAATTAACGGATGAAAAAAAAAAATTTAAATTTTTAATAAAACTTGAAGGCTTTTATATAATTTCCATTTTAAAAAAAAAAAAAAAAAAATTGTAATTAATGATTTTCAGAATGATCAAGTGGTAAATCTGGTGCGGAAACTAATTCTTCATATCCAGAAGAATTTTTCGGTATGACCAATGTGATTCCCGATGAAGCTGGTATTGTTATATATTGCGTTAATGTTTTTCCTTGGACTAATGAATCTTGCGATTCCCTAAGAACATTGACGACTTGACCTGTAAAACGCAAACTCCTTAATAAATTTAATATTTTTCTAGGAATTTCAGTTAACAGACTGCCATTGACTACCTAAAACATTCATTGTTTTCCATCGACTGTCACTCTGGCACATTAAAGGTTTTAAATCCGTTTCGGGTGACCATCTAGAAATGATTTCTTGTCGTCTTATGTAGAGTACAGATGGACTCGTAATTCTATTCCACAATTCCTCGTCCTGTACACACTCTAAAGGATTCGTTAAATAAATTCCTTTGGAATTAACTCCAAATATCATTTGGTGATGTCTGGTGTCGTTAATAATAATGTTATCTGAAGATGAATTTCTTTGAATATTCATTGTTGCTATGGGAACAGCTCCTTTTCTCATCCAATGTGATAACCATTCGGATAAGACAATATCTCTTCTGGGATACAATTGAAAAAATTTCCCATAAAGAGAACCGTTAGAAGCATGTTGGATTCCTTTAATGAGATTTTCGTAGGCTGCACCATTGAAAGAACTCGAAATTAAAAACTGGGGTATGGAAGTTGTGTCTGATTTCAAACGAGTGGAAATGCCTTCTTTTATTTTCTCAATAGAAAGTTGCATTTTCAAAACGAGCTGAAAGATAATTGTAAACTTTATTGAAAAATTATCCTTAAAAATATTATTATTATTTCAGCATATGAGCTTACCATTAAGTTAATGATGGCTGTTGCACCACAAGAAACTTCGGATGACATCAAATTCACTTGTTTTGTAATGGCTTCTTGTTCGGTCCAAAGCATTATGCTATCCAATGACTTTTTATAATCACAAACACTTTCATTCTATTTAAAAATTGTGCATTTAAAATAAATAAAAAAAAAAATATTAGTTTTTTAAATTAAATTTTAATCGTTGGGATTAAAATTAAAAATTTTTTGCTTACTTTTTTAAAAATATTCGAATCTTTACTCTCAGTCAATAAATATTTTTTAACCAGTCTTCTTCCTCCAAATGTTTTGCTACTAACTAAATTATAACTATCCTCCATAAATTCTAACTTTTCATCTTTTATATTATGTTCTGTGTCACTATATTTGTCAGTTTTGTCCTCCGATGAACTGAGACCAGGAAAATTACTGTCAAAAGTTTCTTTAGTTCTATTAAAATTGAATGCACTAGACAAACTACCATTAAAAGAGGAACAATAAAGGTGATTTTCGTCAGATGGTCCCGGTTCTGGGCTAATATTATTCGGACTATTATCACTTTTATCACCCTCCTGATTTTCAACATTATTTTTCATGCACACATCAACAAGTGGACTATTGCTTGTAGAGTTTTGATCAAAACTATCAACCTCATCTCCGGAATCTTGACCTGCAGATGGTCCTGGATCGAAATCCATTTCTAAATAATCCATTTCAGGAGAAGATCCTGGATTACTGCCTTCCCTATTTTCCCTTAAATGTCTTCTATCCTCATTCACATCCCTTTCTTCTTCTACATTTTGATTTTCTCCTTCATGATCACCTATTTCAACTCTATAAAAAGAATTTGGAAGATCGGCAAATTGATCTCCTTTATAGGTGTATATACAATAATCATCTTCAGATAATCCATCTTCTCCTTCGTTTTCATTCAAGTTTTCATGGTCTAAAACACTTCCAGTCTTTCTTTTCTTATCATTCGCTTTTGTATCATACTCTTCTGAAGAGTAAGTTCTTCCTTTAACAACATTTTTCCCTGCAGAAACCGATTTACTACACACTGAAGATGAAGTACTTGGCAAAGAAGTAGATGACGAAGGTGACATTGATGAAGAACATGCGGCTCCATTGTAAACAGAATTTGTTTTCTTATTATGCGAAGTAAAACCATTTGAAATACTTTTACTTGAATCTCCAAATTTTTTATTACCATTTAAATTTGAAACACTGACTTTTGGTTTTACTCCTTGAAAAAAAGATGTTTCTGATGAGTTATTCGAGGAAGTTTGAGCCTTGTGTTCAGCATCGTCTTCTTGCATTTTTCATCATACTATTATTATATATAAAAATAAATAATGAAAATATTTCTGAAAAAAAAAATAAATGTCATCCTTCAATACTTTACTCAAGAAAAACTTATATAATAATAATAATCATAAGAATGTTTTTATTAAATATACATAGATTCAGAAAAAACTTTTTAGTAATTTTATCAAAACATTAAACAAAGTTACATAAAACTTTGATATTTAAAAAAAGTTTAAATTCTTTATAAAATTTTAATTATATTCTTGATCTTTTTAATTGAACTTATTGATAACGGATAAACACTTTTTAATAATAATAATAATAATAATAATAATAAAGAAAATAAGCATTGAAAATAAAAAATCAAAAACAAGAAAGTTAAATAGTTTAAAAAAAAAAAAAAAGGTAAAGCTCTAATTAGAATGAATTAGTTTATTTACAAAGGAACTCATTTGAATTAAAAAAATAGATAATGGGATCAAATAAATTAAAATTTTTCTCACATGTAAAAACTTACAAATATTAAAATTTACTTATTTAATTTGTTAATTAAACTCTGGCCTTCGATGTAAAAGTAAATCGTTTAATTTACAATTAAATATTTTATTATGACACTCAAAAAAAAAAATAATTAATCGTATAGAAATCCTTTAAACAGTAAAATAATAAATAGAAATGACCTTGCTTCCATTTTACTTTCATGCCTTTGAACCGTGGTACTAGAATTACAACAAATTTACATATTTACTTAAATAATAAAAAATAACATTTTTTTAATTAAAAATTAACTCATTTTATTCTTATCATTTCATTTTTTCAATACATTCCTCTAAAATATTCGATAATCATAAATTTTTTAACGAAATATTAAATAATTAAACAATTTTTTTAAGCCCTTTTCACAAATGCAAAAAAGCCATTTGATAGTCAATGTGTAAAATGCATAGTTTTAAAATACATGATAAAAAAAAAAAAAAAAAAAAGAAAGATGGGTCAAGGATATTTGAAACATTTTAAAACTTTTAACGACCGTAATTTATTTTCCTTTTCTTGTTTAAAAAAAAAAAAAAAAAAAAACAAAAACTTATTAAATACATGTAGGAAATTATTTATTTATTCCTTCTCATATTTTTTTAAATGTAACTTCACTGTTATCACTCTTATCTTCATAAGTCATGAGATTTTATTCATATTAAGAAATTATTATTATTACATTTTAATAAAAGAATTTTATTTAAAAAAAGTTTATTTTAATAATAGAAAATAAGTACAATAATAATAGTTTACATTTTTTAATTTAAAAAAATTCAGTCAAATTACATTAAAAGAAAGAGAAAAAACTATCATATAATACTTTGCTCACAACCAATAAATAATTTCTATTATTATTATTATTAAAAAGTATCTCATTAACGAACTTTTTTTTTTTTTTCAGCCATTAAAATCGTCGTTGGTAATAAATAATAATTGAAAAATGTATAAAATTATATATATATAAATTTTAAAATCATTTTCAATTGTTAACAATACTTGAAAATACTTTTACTTTTTTCCCTTTGGCACATTATTATTATTATTATTATTAATATAAGAAATAATATTGAAAAAAAAAAAAGACATTATGCAATTAACCAATTTGACACTTGAGGTAGAAGTACTAGTTACAAATTTCTACTCAAGGTACTCACGTTACAGTGTAACTGCATTTAACTGACATTGAATGAGTTTATTCATGGATTTCGTTTTTTTTTTTTTTAAACAAAAATAGGCGGTTGATAACTTAATGCTCCTATTTCATCTCTTATCTTCTGTTGAATTCTTCTTTCTTCTGTATGACCATCTTCTCCCAAACCTATTCTTTCTGTATGCCTGTATCCGTGTCGACCATTTACAGCTTCATATTCTCTTCTTCTATATAAACCGGCATCCGGATTAACTGGCCAGTAAAATTGCTGTTAAACAAACAAACAGAAAACAAATTCATACCCCCCACAAAACAAACTTTTTTAAATAATAAAATAATTTTTTAATTTTGTTAAAAACTCAAAGATTTACTTTCCTTTGTCATAAAATCAAAATAATTGTTAATAATAATCTAACGGTCATTTTTATACTTAAATGCATTATAATTTTACATAATATATTAAAAAATATTACAAAATAATTAATTAATTAATATTACTTTTACTTTATGTATTTTTGCACGTAGGCCATAGTAGTATAACGGAAAAAAAACTTATTATTATTATCATTAAAATAAATAAAGTTTTTTTTATTAAAAAAACATACCTGAAAATTAACAGCAGGTCCTGCAATATTATTTCTAATGAATTGCACTAATGTACATTCTACATTTATAATTAATATAATAAATAAAATAAACACCTGTAAACATAACCAAAACAAATAATAATAATAATAATAAAACAGAAAACTTTAAAAAAATTTTTTTAAATTTAAAAATATATATCCAAAATGTTTTTACACAGGAGAAAACAAAACAATAAAGGAAAACTCACCGAAAAAAACTTCATAATTAAATAATTTAAATAATTAAAATTAATTTAAAATCGAAATATAAAAATTTAATATGCCGCATTGAAAAACGATGTTCAAATAAATTGAGTAAAAAAAAAAAAAAAAAAAAAAAAAAATTTCAAATGTTGTAACGGCCAAGATTTCTTAATACTGAACTCAAAAATTGTTTACATGTTCAGGGTCATCAACTTTTTTTTTTTTTTTTTTTCCATAAAGAAATTACAAAATCCAAGATGGCGGGGTGGTGGTGGTGGTGGTGGTTCTGCTGCTTATTCAATCATAAAAGGTTTTAATAATAATAATAATAATAAAACTATTGAATAATTGGGGAGGGGGTGGGTTTACTTATTAAAAAAAAAACTATTATTATTATTATTATTATTAATTTGAGTTCTTTTTTTCTCTCTATTAAATTTTATTTATTAACTTATTGATATTCTTTTATCATGTTCTTACATAATCAATTGATTTATTATTATTATTGTTATGATAATTGGCTTTTAATCAAAAATTTATTCTTATTTATTTACTCCAATTTTTTCATTTGTTTGTTTGTTTGTTTGTTTGTCGAAGCTTTCACTCACTTTAAAAAAAAAAAAAAATCGATCGTGTTAAAATGAAATTATTAACACACGTAAGTAATTATTAATTAATTATGGATTCACACTCGACAAACTTTAAAAATTTTTTTTTGTGTTTTTCAGGTACTCGTGGTTTTTTTTTTATTTGTTATTATTATTCGTTCGAAACCTACAATCGATCGATATGTAAAATTTGTAAGACGTTTACTTTTTTCACCCGATAATCTCAAATATTCTGAAAATATTATTTTTAATAAAAATCATGGCGAAATCAACAGGGACGAATATGAGAAAATGTTTGGTCAAAATGGCGAATTATTAGTCGATGCATTTGGAAAAGGTTTAACTAAAAAAGAACTTGAAAATTTAGGATATCTTTAAAATATCTTCTTCATTTTAAAACGAATACGTTATGTAAATTGTTTTTAAAACTATTACGTCACGAGTACTTTTGTTAAAAAAAAGAAACTTTCATTGGCACATATTTACTGTTTGTCTTATTTGAAAACAAACGATTGTTTGTATTAAGTACTACCCATCTTATGTATTATGTATGTGAATTTATGTATTATTTGGTACTTAATTAATTTGTAAGATTATTTTTAGTTTATGTCAAGGTGTTGTATATGAGGTCTTATTTTATTTTATTTAATGACAATTATTATATATTTAATAAAATTATCATGTTGATGGGGGATTCCCTTCTTTTAACCTTCTTTGTTGTAATTTAAACAAATTATTATATAAATAATAATAAAAAATTATTTATAAAAATTTAAATTGATTGTTTAAATAAAATTTTATTTAATTGATGAGAGAATTTTTTGTTTTATTAATTTTTATTTATTTTTTAACACAATTTTTCGCCCACTCTTATAACATAATCAGCAATATTAGATAGCAAAAGAGTTGTAAATAGTCCATCATTGTGTATGTATGTGTGATTTATTAAAAAAAATGAATGTTTTAATTTTTATTATTATTATTATTATTAATTGTTTTTCATATCAAATAAGTTTTGCTGAAGAATCGAAGAATAAACATGAAGAAAAAAATATTAAAAATGATATTGAAAACATGACAAATTCAAAAAATTTTTCTAAATATCCAAAAACAAGCGTTTTAGCTGACATATTTAGAAAAAAAATTCAAAATTTAAAAACTCATAAAGAGGTAAAGATAGAAAAATTATTCTTTTTTGTTGTTGAAAATGGTTAGTTAAATTTTGTTGAAAATTTAATAATAAATTTACAGGTTGAATTGATTATATTAGTTGATGGATCATATAGTGTTGGACCAAAAAATTTTTTAAGTGAAATGAAATATATACAAAAAGTAATATCAGATGTTGAAGTTGGACCCAAAGCTTTTCGTTTGGGTGTTATAATTTATAGTACTCAAGCTGTAGGTCAATTTTTATTTTAAAAATAATTGTTATAAATTTTATTTTATTTGCCAATTTTTTATTTAAAGGTTATTCATGTAGATCATTTGTCAGTAACCGATGAATTAGATCTTGAAAAATGTTCATTATTACATGTTCAAATACCTAAAATAAAATATCCTGGTAAAAATACAAATACAAAAGAAGCATTAGAAAAAGCAGAAAAAATTCTTACACGTGCAAGAAAAGGAGCAGTAAAAATTATATTTCTTATAACAGACGGTTTTTCAAATATGGGAAATCCATTGCCTATGGCACAAATATTAAAAGATCAGGATACAATTATATATACTTTTGGAATAATAAACGGTCAGTTAACACACATTCATAAAAAATTTGGTTTGGATATGATTTTTGTGATTGCACAAGCATTTAAATTTGTATTAAATGATAGGAAATGCAAGAGAATTACTCAAAATCTCATCGCAGCCAATTGAAGAACATGCTTATTTATTTACTTCCTTTGACGAATTTGAAAAATTTGCCAGAAGAGCTTTACACGAAGATTTATCTCCGGGTACTTATGCTCCAGTTAAAAATTCAAAAATGTGCAATTATCTTTGTACGAATTCCTCAGATGAGGTAAATTTTATATTTCTTATATACACATAAAAAAAAAATTATAGTTAATTAAAACTATTATAATTTTATTTAGGGTTGTTGTTCAGATGGCGCAATTTGTACGTGCGGTCTAATATCCGGCCATTTTTCTTGTTTGTGTCCTCCTGGTTATTACGGAAGTGGTTTGAAAGGAGAAGGATGTAAACGTACGTAAGCTTTCATTTTCAAATTAACCGATTTCTTGCCTTTGCTAAAATTTTATTGTTCTATTATTATGGACGAATTTGAAACAAAAAACAAACACTCTTAAAAATTAAATTTGAATTTGTAGTGTGTCCTAAAGGAAGTTACAGTCAAGGTTTATTTCCGGGAGATATTTTATCTTGTGCCACGTGCCCAGATAAGTATCACACTACAATCAATTTTCCCGCTTCGAACAAATCGTTTTGTGTATGTGCAAATGGTACCGAACCTGATGGAGATAAATGTAAAAGTAAGCTTTTAAGACTATAAAATAAATAAGTTAATAACTTGACAATTAATACATACATTTATATAAATGACGACACGTAATAATTTCAGTTGTATCCTGTCCAACACTTTCACCACCTTCAAATGGTTATTTCGTTAAAAAAAATTGTTCAAATGTAATAAACGCAGCTTGTGGAGTACGATGCCATATGGGATACGTTTTAACTGGAACGAGTGTTAGAATTTGTCAAAAAAATGGCACTTGGTCAGGAATAGAACCAGAATGTAAGGCAAAAAAATGTAATCCTTTAAAGCCCGTACCGAGTTCTCAAATTATCTGTTCAAATGATGACGAAGAAAAAAAAACAATTAAAATGTATGATAAAACTGGAAATGAAATTCAATCTACTCTTATCTCTGCTGAGAAAACAAAACAAAATGTTACTGCTGAATTTCATTTATCTGAAAACACAAACCAAAGCCAAGTTGATTATTTGGTTGGGACAAAATGTTCATATTCTTGCTTAGCTGGTCATTCTATGATTGGATCCAAAACTAGAGATTGTTTACCCATGTTAAAATGGAGTGGTTTAAAACCTACATGTAAAAGTAAGTTAAAACTTTTAAGTGTCTTTATGGACAGTAAAAAAATTTCTTCTTCAATGTACAGAAATTCAATGTTCATCTTTGCCTCAATTACCCAGTGGAAGTATAAAACCTCAAAATTGTACAAGTAAGGGAATAAAACATTCTTTTGGAAAAATTTGTAAATTTTATTGCAATCCTGGATATGAATTAAAAGGACCAAAACTGACCAACTGCACTGGAAAACATGGTACATGGAGTGAGAAAAACAATCCAAATCGTTGCGTGGGTAAGATTTTCTAATTTGAAAAACTTTTACCATCTACTTTCATAAAATTAATGTTTGATTACTTGTTCAGATGTAGAACCTCCAGAAATTGATTGTCCAAAAAATCATTCCACTAAAACAGATGATAATATGTATTTTGCAACTTTGACTATGACTTTACCTAACACAACTGATAATTCTGGAAAAAAACCTGTAATTTGGTCTAAACCACCCTTTGAAGAAAATTCAACCCTAAGGTTTTCAATTGGAGATAGTGAAGTACAAATTTACAGCGTGGATGAATCAGGAAATTATGGTTTTTGTTCTTTTTTTGTAAAAGTAAAAGGTATTTATTTAACGGCCATTGATTCAAACAATTCATTCATAAAAATCCTTTTTTTTTTTGTGCGTTTTTTTTTTTTTTTCAGATGACGAAAAGCCTAAAATACTTGAATGTCAATCCCCGCCAATTTTTTTTATAAGTGAATTACCTTATAATTTTACTGAAATATCCTGGAAAGAACCTGTTTTTGATGACAATTCTGGAATTCCCGTTTCTATCGTACGAACACCCGATAATTTCGTTATAAAAAAAGGAATAAATTCAATTAATTATACGGCAATTGATACGTCGGGAAACAATGAAACATGTTCGATAAATGTTACCATATTAGGTGAAGAAAATATTTCGTGATAAAAAAAAAAAAAATTTGAGATGCTGCCATATTGAATTACGTAATGAGATACTTCATATTTTATCTATAAATTATTTTAGACAATCCGTGTAGTGAAATACCAACGGATACAGACACTCTTTGGAATTGTTCAATTAATGATAAGAAAATCACAACATGTAAACTATCTTGTTCCAGTGGATATGGATTTTCTTCTAATAACATTCCAGATGATGTTATTGATTTAAATTGTACTTATTTTGGAAGAAAAGCTTATTGGACACCAAAAATATACATTGATGATGGTTTTTTTCCAGAATGTACAGGTTGAAATCAATACATAAATGTTACTTACAATTGATTTTGCCATAACTTTTATCTTTGCCCTAATTTTTAACAATCATTCATGTTGAAATTTTATTATTTTAGAAATGGAATTACCCGAAATTGAAATTGAAGTACCTGATTCATTTTGTGATGATTTAAACATGTTATCAAATGATTTAAATAACGAAACATTATCGTTATCAACGACATTATGCGACGAAGACAACTGGAATGAAACTAGTGATGAGTATGATGATGATGATGACGATGGTTTTACATCGAATGAAAATACATTTTTTGATTATGATAATGATAGTTTTATTTTTTCAAAAACCGAAAGAGACAAAAATATCAATTCGATTTTAGCAAATTTATATAAGGTACCCGTTGATAGGTACGAAGAATTAGAAAATCTTATTTCATCGGGAAATGAAAAAGAAAAAATAAAAGACGAAGAGAATAAATTTGAGAAAAATCCAAATAAATCACAGAAAAATTTATTGTATTCGACAGAAGATGAAATTAATAAAAAAAAATTAACAATTGTACAAGAAGAAACTCATAGTTTAAAAGAAAACGATAATGATGATGATGATGATGAAAAAATCAGAGAAAAAAGAAAAGTTAAAAGGAGGAGAAAAAAATTAAAAATTTCACTTAAAGGTTATGAAAATTAAATAAATTTTAATCATTTCAATAAAATAAAAAAAGTAATATTACATAATGTTATTAATTTTTCTTGACAGGTTTAAAAAATAAAAATAAAACTCATTTAATAAATAATAATAATAATTTAAAAGGTGCTATTGGAACAATTGAAAATTTATATGGAAAATCAGGGAAATCAAAAATAAAAACAAAAATTTTTTGTAAAAATGGTTCTTTGCCAAAAAATAATTTTTGCGGTAAGTTATACCTTGATAATAATAATAATTATTATTATTATTTTAAAAAAAATGTGTATAAAAATACTCATTAATTTTTATGTGATGACAGTTAAATGTCCAAAAGGTACTTTTCACAACGTGGACAATTCAAAATGTGACCCATGTCCTATTGGCCATTATCAAGAAACAGAAGGTCAAACATCATGTAAGTCTTGTCCTCGGGGTTTTTTGACGAGAAGAATTCGACGTAAACACGTTAAACAATGTTTAAGTAATAATTATTTCATTGCGAAAAAAAAAAAAAACTTTAATTTTTTAAATTTAAATAATTCATTTATTTATTTTTTTTTTTATTTTTAGAAATATGTCCTCCCGGAAGTTTTGGAAACATAACCAGGGAAACGAATTTATCTCTATCACCTTGCACAATGTGTCCCATAGGATTTTATCAGGTTTTCGAGGGGCAAAGCCGTTGTGAAAGTTGTCCTCGAAATTTGACTACTTTGAGAAAAGGATCCACGAATGAAAAGTTTTGTGTCAAAGCCTCAGAATTCGATGATGCGTGTACGAATATTAATTGTAGAAATGGAGGACATTGTTTTGTAACTGATGGATTTCCTCATTGTCAATGCCTTCCAGGATTTATAGGTAGTTACATAAATTTTTCAATTATTATTAATATTTTAATTTCGAGTTTGATGTTTTGGAGTTTAGTCAAATAATAATAATAATAATAAAACGACTTTGAGTTTCAGTGTTCATTTTAATAAATTTTATTTCAAACAGGATCGTTTTGTGAAAGAACTTTTGATCCCTGTGGTTCGGATCCGTGTTACAATGGCGGACAGTGTCTTCTTTTAGATTTTATAAATTATAAATGTCAATGTTCAGAAGGATTCGAGGGAGAATATTGCGAGAAAAACGTTGACAATTGTTTTTCAAATCCGTGTAATAATCGCGGAGAGTGTACGAATCTGATAAATGATTTTAAATGCGATTGTCATTCTGGATTCACAGGTTAATATGCTACTTTTTATCATTGAACAAAGTTTGAAAAAGTAATAACGTAAATAATAATAATAATAATTAAATACTATTGATAGGAAAAACCTGTAACGAATCATTAAAATTATGCCAAGAACTTGAACCTTGTTTAAATTCCGGTACGTGCATTGACGTAAATGAAACGTACGAATGTGTTTGTCAAAAGGGATTTTACGGACGTCATTGCGATGTTATTTACGATTGCGATTATGAAAATTGTACCTCTGAAATCCCGAAAATAATACCTGATCCTTGTGATAATTATACCTGTTTAAATAATGCCCAATGTGTGTCTGATAGATTCGGTCAACCGACTTGTACTTGTATTTCCGGTTTTCGAGGAAATAATTGCGATGAAGGTATTATATTAATTTAAAAATAAAAAATTTATTATTCTCGTTATTATTATTATTATTATTATTTAAAATTTAGAAATAAATCCCAACGTTATATTAAATTTTCCAAAATATGGAGTGACCGAATATTTGATGTCCGATTTTCCAAAAAATGATTTAACCGAAATATCTGTTTGCGTTTGGATCAAAACCAAAGACATATTTAATTATGGTACATTATTTTCTTATGCCACTTTGGAAAATGATAATGCTTTTACTCTAACCGATTATTCAGGGTAAATAAATACAGACAAACATTTATATTGAAGAAAAATGTAGATTCCAATCATTAATTTGTTTTTATTATTATTTATTTATATTATTAGTGTAGTTTTATACGTTGATGGCAATTATGTCGTCACCGATCTTCAAGCTAATGATGGTTTTTGGCATTTTATTTGCGTAACATGGCAGTCACTCAACGGTCAATGGGAAGTATTTTTAGATGGTGTATTGTTTTCAAACGGAACCGGATTAGCAAGTAATAATAAGATTAAAGGAGGTGGTAAATTGGTATGTAAATTTGGGAAAATTATAAATTACTTTTTATTTTGTTGATGGCAATTTCATGGCAAAAAAAAAAAAAAAATATTTTAGGTTGTCGGTCAGGAACAAGATAGTTTAGGTGGTGGTTTTAACGATGTGGAATCGTTTGCTGGTCAACTGACAAATTTTGACGTGTGGAAAAAGTTATTAACCCCTGCCGAAATAGAAATTTTATACGGAGCATGCGATCCAGGATTTGGAAATTTTATTAGCTGGATTAATTTACTTCAAAATATTAATGGCGACATAACGGTACATTATAAAAATACTCTAATAAATTTTTTTATATTTTAATTATGGGTTTATCTTAAAAATATGTTTTCGGTTTAATTTTTACTTAATGTAAATTAATTAATTTTTTTTTTTTTTTTTTTTTTTTTTTTTAGGAAGAAGAATCAATTTTTTGCAAAACGTGCGATTCTAATCTTGAAATTTATAACGGTGAAATCACGTATGATTTTTCAAAACATGGAAAAGTCGCTAATTACACTTGCAACGATGGATTTATCATTAAATTTGATACCGATAATAATTACAATGATGAAAAAATTACATTTTATCAAAGGAAATGTATGAAATATGGAGGATGGCAAAGAAAAGAACCGAAATGCGGAAGTAAGGAAAAAAATGTATTTGATTGATCAAAATATTATTTATAATGTATTTTATTATAAAATGAATTTATTACAGGAATTTCTTGCGGTTTTCCCGGTTATTTTCTACGAGGGAAAATTTCTGGAGGATCTTACTTATACGGTGATGAAATTACATACAGTTGTTCACCAGGTTATACATTAGAGGGTAATAACATCAGAATTTGTTTATCTAATGGAACTTGGAGCGGGAAACCTCCTACTTGTAGTGGTAAGTTTTTTTTTTTTTTTTTTTTTTTCAACAATTTATTTTTATGAAAATAATAATGGAAAATTTTTTTTTTACAGGTTATTCTACCGAATGTGAAAAATTAATGGCACCGAGATACGGATCAATGTTTGTGTATTTTAATAATACTAAACCCTACAGTTCATCCACTGTTGCCATCGGTGATAGAGTTGAATTTACTTGCGACGAAGGTTACGCGATAAAAGGGTTTCCTATATTAACTTGTATAGAAGGCGGTGTTTGGGACCGTGAACCTGCTACATGTGAAAAAATCTCTTGTAGAATACCCATAGAGTAAGATATACTTTTTACGTTTGCGATAATTATTTAATTATAAAAAATAAAATTATTAAGAAAAAAAAAATTTTTTTTACAAGTTCATGGTTTTGAGTTAGAAGGATTTTAAAAAGTATTAAATTACTTTCTTTTTTTTTTGTTGTTGTTGTTGCAAAAGAATTTCAGATGTTCTTCCACCTACCCTTGATTTTAATTCGAAATTTTATTATGGAAATATTATAACAATAACATGCCCGTCTGGATCAACAAAAAATATATCTTGCGGCCATCTTGGTAATTGGAATTATACGGACGATGTTTGTAAAAGCTTTTGCGAAAAAAAACCGCCACGCTCGATAAGAAACGGGTATTTTGTAGAAGAAAATCCCAAAACTTTTTATAACGAAGATGAAATTCTTAAAATAAAATGTAAAGCTGGTTTTTATCTTCAAGGAGATAATTATTTTAAATGCTCTGAAAATGGAACGTGGATTCAAAATCAAAAAACCGTTTGTCTACGTAAATGCATTTTAAGTTTATTATTACACGCATAATTGTATGAAATATTATTAATGATTGATCAATCATGTTTGTATTTTTAGCTATTAATTGTGGTCCACCACCTCGGCCACCACCTGCTTATCAAATTGTACACGAAGAAGGCTACAATTACAAAAACAAAATTTATCTTCGGTGTTCTAAAGGATATATAAGCGCGGGAGAAATTTTTATGCGTTGTCAAGCTAATGGAAGATATTCTCGCGTGACCAATTACTGCAATAGTAAATTTTTATCATTTATAAAAAACTTAAAACTGATTTTAATAATTTTTTTTTTTTTTAATTACAGTATTTAACCTTTGTTCCTTGCAGAAATTTCTTGTGGTGCACCAATTTTACCTGATAACTATCATATAGCGTCTCATAATTCAGATTACACGTACGGTAGTAAAATTTCTATTTATTGTACTAAAAGAATATTTTCTAATCAGAATTTTAATAACATTATTGAATGTCAATCAGATGGGAAATGGTCCTTTGTACCAAAATGTGAATAATCAGTATATATATAGTTTATAAAAATGAAAAAATGGCTCGGTAATTATAATTACAGATATTATAAAATAAAAGTTTTACAAATCAAGTTTTAAGTTTTTTTTTTCTATTAAAGCTTTCACATACATAATTTTATAAAGTTTCCTTAATCACCTAAAAATAATCATATGTATATATAGTATTGATAAATAATCAATTAAAATTTATAAATTTTATGATAAAAATTTATCAATTATTTCGTCTCTTACAAAAAAAAATTCTTTACTAAATTTTTTATTTCAGTTTTAAATTTCTAAACACAAAAGTGTTAAATTCAATAAAGCCAACTTACCGACCGTAAATTGGGAAAAAATAAAAAATGGCGGCGAAAGTGCTGGAAGCTGTAATAAATAATAATTTATCTGTAGATAATGTTTTAGAATGGTTATCAAAAAATTATAGTATTAATAAAGTAAGCTTTTTATTTTTTAAATTATTTTTTATATATAATTTTTTTTATGTAAGATTTTAAAAAAGTTTAACCATATTGGGTTATGTTGGGTTATGTATTATGTTGTTTTTTTCAATTAAATCCTTCTTTAAATTCTTAAAACTTTCCTATGTTTTAATTCCATTAATATTTTATTCATTTTCTTTTTTTTTTTTTTTTTTTTTCAGATTGAAAATGTTAGTAGTAAACAATATGATTTTGAATGTACTCCTATTGAATTTGTATCTAACTTTTTAATGTTTTTAAGAGAACAAACATCTAGGTAAAGTTACATTTTAATTAATTAAATAATTATTTATATAAAAAAAATTAACTTGATTTGAATTTAAAGCGATATATTTATAAATGATTTGTTTTTTTTTTCAGAAATTTTGAAATTTACGATGCAGAAACTCCGAAAAAAAGTTCCTACACAAGAGTTCATAAAAATATAAAATCATTTGAAGAGCAAAGTTTAGATAGTAAATCATCACTGGGTTCTTCATTTTATTTTAATTGTTCAGATGTTGACTCTTTAAAATCTTTTCCTGCCTTATTATCTTGCTCATCTAATAAATTAGAAAAATTTGAAAGCAGAATAAAAAATAGTGACAACAGTAGTAATAAAATCAATTTGGAAAAAACATCTAGAAGAGTCAAATTATTTTCAGATTTAGAGAATAGCGACAAAAAAAGCGAATTAGACGATCATGATTTAAAATTATTCGATAATTTTTATATAGATTGCAAAAATAATTTTGCATCATCTACTCCCAAAACATTAAAGTCACATTCTAGTTCTGTCGCAAGTAATTTAGGTGCTGGAGAATTAACAAAAAGCTCTGTCGTCGAATCATTAAGTGAAAGAATGTCTACAAACTCTTTTAATTCCATAACTGAAATTTCATCTTCTAAAAGCGTGTCAATTAGTGATGATTCTTCTTTTAAAAATAAAGACAATAAAATGAATAGCAAAATAACTTTAGGAGATTTTATGGTAAACGATTTGAGTATTGGTGATAATAAAAGGGATAAAAAAGGTAAATATAAAAAGAGAATTCAAACCATTAAATTGAATAGTGTCAGCAATAGGAGTGCAATTCATGATAAATTTGAAAACTCTATTGATAATTTACCGAGGAGTTCAATTTTCAAGACTGATAGTAATAATTTAAACGATGTTCAAGTAGAAGAATTATCGCAAATGGTAAGTTTAAATCTCAAAATAAATTTATTTTAGTTTTTTTTAAAGAAATTTATGAATGAAATTAATTTAAAATTTCAATAGTTTGAAAAGGGAGAATAATAAAATGCTAACAATATAGAAAAATAAATGTCTAAAAAAAAAATTATTTTTTTTTATGTTGCAGAATTCTAAAATTACTAATACAAGTTTGGAATCATCGAATAATAATAATAATAAAGAGCCTAATATGAAAAAGGTCACTTTTGTCAATCAATTAAAAATTTTATCTAAATTATATTCTTTTTTAATAAGCGAAAATTTTTGTCAAAATATTTTAATGGAATTTTGTTTTATAATAAGTTTGTTATTAATACAAAATCATGACAAAAAAAATCCAGGAACGGGATTGGAAATTAATGAAAACAAAAAATATTTTGGGAGCGTTCACAATTGTGTTTTTTTCGCCGTTGAAACTTTATGGCATCAGAGGCATAATTTACAATTTTTAAATTTACCTGCTTTAAAGCTTTTGTCCGAAAATGATAGAATAACCGAGTTTAATATTGAATTAAACGAATATGTGAAAAAAACTTATTTGCAAAAACAAAACAGTGACGAATCGAAAAAATGTCTTCATCAATTCAAAACCGAAAATGAGGGCAAGTTGTTTTTAAATTTAATTATATTGTGTATTCAAATGAAATTTTATTTTTCGAGTAAAGTAATTATTGTAATGATATGATTAACAAAAAAAAAAAAAAAAAAAAAAAAGTAATCGAATGTGATTGCATATTTTATTGCACGCATTTAAAATACAAGTCACAATGTTAAGTCGCATTATCACTATTATTATTATTATTATTATTATTTTCATTTCATCAGATTTATAATGTCATCATTTTTAATTCACAAAAAAAAAAAAAATATTTATTTTTATCAGGAAATGTATCATTTCAATACGAAACGGACAATCGTGAAAATTTCACATGCGATTCGAGTTTTCACGCTTTTCGCAAACAAAGAGATTTATTTTATAATATATTGGCCATTTGGGAAGCGAATCATTTAACTCCCGGATGGATATTTTCCGTTGGTTTGGGTTCGAAAATTCGATCACTTTTAGGAATCAGTTCGGATCCCATCAATTTATTACATTTCGCACGGTTATTCCGTAATCAATTGATAACGTCTTGCTGCGGAGAAAATCAGGGAAAGGTATTATTATTCATTCATACAAATCATTTTCGACATATTTAACACAATTATTTAAACTTTATTGTATATACTCGTAGGAAAACATGAACGAAAAAATATTTCAACTTCTTCCCACTGCGGATCCAAATAAAATAATTCGGTTAAGAGCTCGACTCGTGGGTTCGTCAAAAAGGCAGGGACCTTGTCCGGTACCTGATTTTCCCGGGTATCAAGAATTTTATAAAAATTTTATTTTATGTTTGAATCACAGTATATTTCACCAACATTTAAAAAATAGTTTTACCGATGAAATTCTACGGTTAAACGATACCGATTTTACGGAAAACATAGAAGAAAAGGGTAATGATGATAATAATAATAATAATAATAATAATGACGATTTTAAACGTTTGTTAAAATTTGGAAAAAGAAACTACAGCAATAAATTTTTTTAAAAATTATTTTTAGAGTCTATCGATGAACAAAGATATTTACAATGTACAAACATTTTGAGATTACTGGCAAAATTTTTAGGTTTTTTAGAATTTATGCCGTATTTCGGTGAAAAAATTTATTCAGACAAAATATTGAGCATACATTGTTCAGTGAGACATAACGTAGGTATGAAATGGTTGTTGAGATTTGATTTTAATGAGATTTTATTGATTTGTTTTGGTCTTTTTCAGACGTTACCACTTTTCGACATAAACGAATGTTTGGAGTGTGCCGTGAAAAAGGGAAAATTAACATTGACCATTCCGTGGATCGTTAGTTATTTATCAATGATCGATTATTATTCGGCACATTTACAAATATATCGTAAAATATGGAAATTATTAATAGTAATATATAAAAATGTAAACGAATTTAATAATAAGAGAAATAGTTTTTATTTGAAAATAATATTAGGGTACATATTTCAAAATCCAAATTTTCCACCAGAATTATTTTATAACATATTAAACGATATATCGAAAGATGTATTAAATTCATTTATAACTAAAATGGAAGACGTTTCGAAGGGATTAGATTCATACGATTTTGTACACGAAAATATTCTTTACGCGGTTTGCCCTTATTTGAATGAAATAAATGTCATACTGAGTGAAAATTTGGGTTGTAATGTGAGACATGTAAAACCTGTGACAACTCAAGAGAAAAGTTTTTCAAAATCACAACAAATATCAAAACAATTAGAGGTAAGACAAAGGTAAATAAATAAATAAATAAATTATCATTTGTTTAATTATTATGTTCCATTTAAAAAAAATGTAAATTTGAATATTGATAGCTTCGTTTGGAGAGTAGTTTTTTACACAATCAATCATCTTCGACAAGGAAAACAATTGAATTTGTCACGGAAAGAATAGCATCGATAGCCATTAAAGAAATGATACATAATATAATTCCAAAAATAAAAAAAGAAGCATGGATGGAACTTGATAATTTACCACTGATAAAATCGGTAATTTTTTTGAAATCGGATGGATTTTATGGAAAATGGAATAGAAAATGGAAATTTTTTTTTTTTTTTGTTTTAGAATGAAATAGAATCGACGGCTGATAATTTATCGAAAACTTATTATAAAAAATTACAAACCGTGTGTAGGGAAAAAAATTGGACGACGAGTTTAATACGTTCGGAAAATTCAATAAAATCATTATTGAGTAACGATTTACAACCTTCGGTAATCGAAACATGTTTTAAAATAACGTGTCGTCAAGCAATGGAAAAAATCGATAAATGGATGCAAAGTCATTTGACCCTTGGTTATTATTATTATTATTATTAACCTTTTTGCTGTTTTTTTTTTTTTCGAATGTAAAAATGTAATTAAATTATTTTTTAATAATATTTCAGCGATGATAAAAAAAGATTTTGTTGTAAAAATACAAAAAAAAATAAATAAAATATATTCAGAGTCTTCTGATATCATAACACAAGATTCAATTGATGATGATAAGGGTCAATCTAATAATAATAATAATAAATATCATTTATGTTACGTAACGGAAACGGTTGGTACGAATGATGATGATGGCGGCGATGGCGATGGCGATGGCGGTGATTCCGTACCTGCTTCACAAATATTATGTGCCATTAAAGAATTATCGTGTAAAGTTTACGAAAAAAAAAATTGTTTCATCGAAGTTGAATGTTTAATTGAAGAAGCAACGAAAACGTTAAAATTTAGAAAAGATGTTGTTCCGGTTGCAAAAAACGTCATTTCCTGTTTAATCCTTGATCTCGTTGTTATGTCTTGTAAGTTTTTCCCATTTTTTTATATATTCGCGGGAAATAAATTAAAATTCCATACGCCATATTTATTTTTGTTTTTTTTTTTCCCAGGTATTTATTTTGTAAATATTCAAAACATATTAGAAAAATTTTTTTCATTTTTAAAATGTTTCGAAGGTAAAAGGGAATCGTCGTCGAACCTGGAAAGAATCATATGTTCTAGAAATATGTCAATTATATTAAAAGAAAAGAGAATAGAAAAGGAAAATTCATGGAAAAATTTAGCAAAATTATTATTATCACTTTTAGAAAATGATTTTCTAACAAAGGAACAATTAGAATCTCAATTGTTATTTTTTTTCAGGCATAATTTTGAAAAAGTAAATAATAATTATTATTATTATTATCGACAAAACTAAATCATTATTTATATTTAATAAAATTATTTATTTTTTCTTCCAGGATGACGTCAAGCAATATTTAAATTTTATATTGGAAATATTCGAAACATATTCGAAAAAAAATGGTTGTGATAAATTTACACTCCTTTTAGAATACATGATTGAAACGCTTAACGATAACGATTACATATCGGATGAACTCGCATGATTCCCCCACCCCCACCCCCCTCGTAATCATCATCATCATCATCATTCTTATTATTATTTTTTTTGATTTTAAATCGAATTATTTGCTCAAACGGAATTTATTTATTAATTATTAATTCCCCCGATATTATTATTTTAAACAATTTTAATATATAATTGTAATAATTTTAGTTATTATTATTATTATTTTTTTATTTTTATTTTTTATATAATAATAATAATAATAATGATTTAAATGAAAAGAATGCAAGTACACGTGCCTCATAAAATTATTAATTTTTAAATATATATATTGAAATGACAATTTAAAAAAAAAACAAATCAACAAATCTTTTTTATTAATTTTAATTTGTATGTTTATTTATTTATTTATTATTATTATTATTGTGCTCACCGAGAGATAAATAAATACATAAATTAATTAATAATTTATTAATTGAAAATTATTGAATGAATTGAAAAAATTATCCCATAAGTGAAATATGAAAATTTAATATAAATTTTATTTACGAATCAAATTTAAATTTCAATTTAATTTAATTTAATTTTTTTATTATTTTAACGTATCGATATTATTATTATTATTATTATTATTTTACGAATATTTTTTTTTTCTTAAATAATTAAATAATTAATAAATAATTTATTTATTTATTTATTTATTTATTTTTATTCGGGTAACGTGACATAACCTCCGACGCCATTTTAAATTTTTTTTATTTAAATAAATGAATAAATAAAAAAACTAAAATTTTTTTCAAATAAATAAATATAAATATATAATAAATTATTTATATCTACATTAGTTACAAAATATATATATTAATAATAATAATAATAATATTTAATAATTTATGTAAATATTTTTTTTTTAAAGTAAATTTTCATGTTGATATCATTAAATAATGATTTGAAATAATTTATTTAATTATTTAATGTTGGGGGGTGGAGCAGGTTCAATGACCTCGTTAAAATTTTTTCCCTAAAATGTTTTCCAATGAATTTAATGCTGCTGGATTATCATCAGATTTTTTACTGTGGTAAACTTCGTCGTAATTCTAAAGTTAAAAAAAAATGGCGATTTAATATCGTTAAATAGAAAATAGATAATAATAATAATAATAATTAATAATTACTTTGAGTAAATTTCCAGGGAAACAGGATTTCTGTCGTTTTTTTATAACGAATTCACTCGTCATAAACCATCTTGATTCGTAACATTCTTCAACTGTCGGTCGTTTGCTGTTGGTTTTTTAAAAATTATTATTAAATAGAAAGTTTTTATCATTATTATTATCATTATTATTATTATTATTATTATTATTACCTTGGAGCTCTTTTAAATATTTGCATTAAAAATCTAACGGCTTCTTGCGTTAAATTCTTATGCAAAGGTTCAAATCTATATCGTACGAATTTAATATTTTGTCGAGTTTCTTCTTCCGTTTCTCCAGTGAATGGAGTCACACCGGAGAGTAAAACGTAGGCTACCACACCTAAACTCCATATGTCGGTTCGTGGAAAAGCAGGTTCGTTACAAATTATTTCAGGAGCTGGAAATTAATAATAATGATAATATGTAGTAACAGGTACTTTTCAAACAAAAAAAAAAAAAAATTTTCCTACCGGTGTAATCCGTTATCGGAGCGTTGACGATCGTGCCTAATTTCGATACTTTTTGAGTCGAACCGAAATCAATAAGTTTAACTTGTAAAACTCTATCAGATGATAGGACGATGTTATCAGGTTGAAGATTTAAATGACACAACCCTCGCCAATGTAGGTACTGCAAACCGTCCAATACCTGAAATGATAAAATAATATTTTCATATTTCAATTTAAATTAACAGGTTTCGGCATCAATTAAACGTACCTGAGTGAGAGCAGTCACGATCATATCTTCGTTGAATTCTTTTCGAGATGCAAAATACGTTAGAATGTCGATTTTTTCAAGTTGTTCCATAACGAAAACCGTTAAATTCGGCGCGGGACGCATTGCGCATAACAAATTAACGATCCTTTGATGTTTTAAACTTTTAAAGCTCTCGAATTCTTGTGCCACGTTTTTTTCAGTGTTTGAATTAACATCGATCGCTTTCGCAACTATATTTTTATTAGTTTCTTTATCGACTCCTTCCAAAATGACGGAAAACTCTCCCCTGAAAGGAAAATTATCCTTTTGTAAGGTATGTTAATGCATGGAAAAAAAAAATAAAATTCAGTTTGGTAAAACACCTCGCCATCACCGAATTAAGTTGATATTTTTGTTCAAAGTTGGAATCTGTCGTCCAGGTTATGGGCGAATCTTCAACTTCGTAATTCAATTCAAATTCGTTATTTGATGAATCCATCTCGCTCGTGTTTTCCGTTTCTCTTTGCATTTTTTCCTGTGCATCCGACATGTTAATCTTAGCACTTCCTGTTTGTTAAAATAAAATTTTTTTAGTTAGAAAGTAAAAAATAAAAAACTCCATCGGATTATTAATTCCTAACCTGGTTCGGATGTTTGCACTAATTGTAACGGTAAACTTGGAGCACTCCAACCTATGCAATTTTTAGCGAGTAACCGGAAATCGTAACTCGTTTCCGGTATTAAATTTTTCACTAACCAAAAATCTAAATCGATATTGTCAGCGACTTTTATCCAATCAGTATCGTCTGAAAATATCGAATACCGTTAAATTTTTCGAATTCAATTTTTAAAAAAAACAAATCACGTGAATAAAATGACAACCTGATTTTTTATATTGTAAAGAATAACAAATAATTGGAATATAAACATCGTCACTCTCCGGTTTCCATTTGATTAAAACTTCCGTGTCGGAAACTTCACCGACTTCCGGTGGATTTGGTGATAATGGTACTGATGAAAAGACGGCTCTCATTCTGGCAATTGTTTGACCGATTTTATTTTTCGCCACGACTTTGTAAACTCCAGCGTCGTTTTTGAGCGCAGGTTCAAATTTCAAATAAAATCTTTTTTTCTCATCGGAAAACATTTTTATACGTGAACTTTCGGGTAACACCAAATCATTTCTAATTAATTAAACAAAATTAAAATTATTAATTTATTTTAACTGCAAGTTAATAATTTAACAAAAAATGCATTTACTTAAACCACTGAACAATCGGTTCGGGATCTCCAGTGACTAAACAACTAAATTCTCCAGGTTTATTCGGGATGATGGCTAAATTTTTTGGTTTTTCTCTGAAAAATGGTAGCTAGAAAAACAAAAAACAAATTTTTATTATGGAGTTACCACCTCCATCATCCCCATAATTAGTCTTCACTCACTCGTCCATCTCTTCTACTTTCCAACATGGCTTCAGCTTCTGCATGATTATCCGACCTACATCCAATTTCGTGTTTCAAACGTCTCAACGTTCCAGTTTCATCAGTGCCGTATTGACTTAATTTTGCTCGTCTTTCGTCGTCTATTTCTTCATCCATTATATCCATAAATTTTCTTCTTTCTTTTATTACCGGAGTCTAAACGGAGATATTACAATTTTTCGGGTAACAAATTTTTTAATATTTAATTTACTAAAAAAAAAAAAAAAAAAAAAAAAAAAACTCATACTCTTTTATCTATATTTTCAGGTCCTCCTGATACAATACCAAGCGGTCTCTCGGCAGCTACTTTCATGTAGTGACGTAATCGACATGGTAAATCAACATCACGTAATTGCAAAAGGTAAGTGTCAGGTCCGCACTGGTACCTACATTCAACAAAATCAACCGTTTATTAAGTTATTTTATGTTTTGTAGTGAAAAATTGATTTGTATTCATACGCACTGGCTTTCCGATTTAAAATCTCCAATTTCGTAGTCTAAATTCTCTCTTGGAATCGATGGAACATTTGAAATAGGATGACCTCTGGGCGTTTTAACAGTTTTTGACGGTAAATCATAATCGTTGGATGAGTAATCCAAATTAGGCGGATAAACCATTTTAGAAGGATGAGTGAAAGCATTATTGAGAGGTTCTCTTCTGTACCACGGTCGGCAATTTGCATTGTCATACCAACTTCTGAAAAAAAAAGAAAAAAAGTTAAAGTAGTAACGGTTTTTAATAAATAAGTGGAATAATAAATATTTTATCTTACTTTAAAGAATAATAATAATTTTTCAAATTATTTGTGCTTATTTTATATTGATCGTGTGCGGATTCGTTTAATTTCAAGAGCCAAGGATGACGCAAAGCATTTTTAACGTCCATTCTATCTTCGGCTTTAAATGTGAGCAATCTTGTTATGAAATCTCTTGCTTCGCTCGATATGTTTGAAAAATACTCCTCGTCAAATTTCCACGTTCCTTCAGCATGCAGAAAAACATTTAGAAAATATTTAAACAAAAAAGGAAAAAGGGGGGGGGAAAATAAAACCGAGTACCTTCTTTTATTCTAGTTAATGTTTCTCTATCGTTGTTTCCTTTAAACGGTGAAATACCCGAAAGTAAAATATAAGTTATGATTCCCAGAGACCATAAATCTGCTGAATAACTGACTCCGTCGCCATTGGCCACTTCCGGTGCAACAAATTCTGGCATACCTGTCATGTAAATATATTAAATTTATTAATTAATTATTTATTGTAAACGCGGAGTATTTTTCCTTTTCAAATACCATAATTCAGAGCGCATAAATTGTTCAGAGTGATTCTTCTGCTTAGACCAAAATCGCATAGTTTTAACTCATCGCCATCTGGACGAGAAAGAAGCAAATCATTTAACTGTAATAAGATTTGAAATAATTAAAAAAAAAATTTTGTTTTTTTTCGGGGGGGGGAGGGAGGGAGGGAGAAGAACATACTAACCGATAGTGACAAATGTGCGTAGCCACACGAGTGCATGTATTCTAATCCCCATAAAATTTGCCTTATGTATTTGGCTATTTCTATTTCGGTTATGTAAGTTTGTTTAGTTATCCATTCGATGAGTTGCCCACCTCCGGCTCTATAAAAAATTATGTAAGGAAACGTTTTAAACTCGTAATGATAATAATAATAATAATAATTGAATGAATAAATTAAAAAGGATACAATTCCATGACGAGAACTAATAAATCGTTCGTGTCAAATGAATCGTACAAACGAATTAGATTTTTGTGATTTAACATGTTCATTATGTTGTATTCGTTTAACATGAATGGTTTGAGCTCAGAACGACCGTGCATGAATTTAGCGGCGTAATTTTGACCTGAAAATCAATAACAAAAGTTATACGAAAATATTTATATTTTAAATATTAATGAGGTATTCAAAATTATAAAAGAATTAAAACCTGATTTTCTTTCAACTGCGTGATACGTTATCCCTTGAGTTCCTCTACCTAATTCTAAACCAATATCGTAGTAATTCGAATGAGGTTCCGTTCTTTTTTTTATATTTCTCTCTCCCCTGTAGGTTGCATATTTATAAACCTGAAAATTATTCAATTACTTTAACGTAATGAAAATATTTTTTTTTAAATTTCTTTTTTTTACCTCTTCATTTTCTTCGATGTGAATCATGGCCGAAGAACTAACAGTTCCGGCAAAATTTGTTGCCGATATAGAATATAACCCGGCATCTTTTGAAATGGCATCGTTTATTGTCAGCGTGTACGTGTCAGAATCCTTTTTCTCAATTTTTATCCTGGAGGATGACGTTAAAGGTTGCCAATCTTTGTACCATTTAATTTCCGGATTCGGTACGCCGTAAATCCGAGCCGTTAAAACTCCAGATTCCCGTAACAATATGTACGATTCTTCAGGTCTTCTTATGAAATATGGAAGTTCACCGATTTCGAGTCGAACTTTTTGCCTGGCTTCTCCGTGTTCGTTTTTGGCAACCGCTTCGTACCATCCGACATCACGATCGAGCATTCTAATTAATGGTTCGTTTTATAAATAATTTATTCATTTCGATAAACAATAAATGTTTCATTTAATTTACCCATTAATAAAAAGTGTCGCTTGACCATTTCCGGTATAACTACAATCATATCGTCCACCCATTCCTATCGGCTCATCGTTAAAATAATATGTCATGGTGGGTTTAGGATAACCGTAAACAAACCAGAAAAGACTCGAATTTTGATTTTTTATGCCATATTGAACGTCGTATTCCTGACGTAGAAATTCAGGAGCGTGAGCATAAGAGTCATGTGACGGCCTGTCCAAATCGAATCCTTTAGGTATTGCAGGAGAATCAAAATTAAATTTCGGCCTTCGTAAATCGATGCCATCTCTTGAATCCGAAATAATTTTCTGTCTGAAATTTCATCGAACAATTATTATTTATTTCAACTTAAGTCTAATTTTAAAAATAATGTATTATACCTGTAGGTTTCGGTGTACGGCGATGGATCACTAATTCCATATTTATTTTCTACCCGTACACGAAACCTGTAATCCTGGAAAGGTTCTAAATTTCGTATGTCACAAGCGCAACTTAAAATTCCTAATAAAAAAAAAAAAATTTTAATTAATGATAATTATTACTCAAAGTGTGGAATCGTTAAAAATTTCGTTACCTTTTCTAGCGGTAAACCAATCACCATCTGGTATTTTGCACATTTCGAGAATATAAGTAACAGGAGGTTGAGGCCTTATTGGCAGGTATGGTTTCCAAGATAATGTCATATGTCTATCAGTCATTCTACTTATAATGGGTTTATCAGTGAGTGCAGAAGGTATTTCGCATTCGATTTCTTTTTTCCGAGGTTTTTCAGGTACGGTTACTTTCTTTTTGTTTTGTTTCGAATCTAAAAAATGTATTTTAAGGTAATAATTATATAAATTTTTAAGTAATTTTGCAAATTTTATTTACTTACAATCGCAAATAAGTTTAGCCGAACAATCTGCTTCTCCATATTTATTACTAATTTTTAATTTATACGTTCCAATATCGTCGTCGTTCACGTTATAAATCGTGAGTCGAATCAATCCGCTGTCTTCGTAATCGACTTTAAACCTGCTGTTCGTTAGTAAAAGTTTATTGCCATCTTTAAACCATTCCATATCCGGTTTTGGAAAACCTGCACAGCAAGCTGTAAATTTAGCATTCATTCCTTTGTAAACGTCACAATCGCTAAGTTTTTTCAAAAAGGTCGGCGGTTCAAATTGTTGTTTGTCATCTCTGATAAAAGAAAATATAACGCTTTTGAAAAAAATTGCTTTTATAAATATTTTTATGTCGTTTTTTAAATATTAAAAATTTATTACATTTCTTTTTTGATATTGAGTTGAGCAACACAATCAGCTTTTCCTGCTCTGTTGAAAGCGCAACACCTATAAAATCCGCAGTCTTCACGTTTTATATTTTTTATATTCAAACTAAATCTGTCTCCATCTCTTTCCATTTTATATTTGTCACCATCATCATTAATTTTTTGACCGTTAAAAAACCATTCAGTTTCAACTTTTGGATTTCCCGTGATTCGAGCTTTAAGTACGACATCTTTATCCAAAAACTGAAAGTACATTTTAAAAGTGGCAATAGAAAGAAAATTCCTTTTTTGGAAATTTGTGTATTTATTAAATTACAAAAAAAAAAAAAAAAAAAACGAACCTGTTCGGTATCTTTGAATTTTTCCACGAAAACTGGTTCTTCAAAAATTTTCCTTACTTTAACGTTACCGGTACTTTTTGCTTTTCCCAAATGATTAAGCAAATGACACGTGTAATTACCAGCATCAGACAATTTGCAAGGTTTTATTTCTAAGCTCACCTAAAATTTATAACGTGTCATTTCATTCGCGTAAAACCTGAATTTATAAATTGTTTACCTTTTTGCCATCAAATGTAGGTAGAATTCGATCGTTTGGTATTAACGGTTTGCCATCTTTTTCCCAAGAAATATCTGGAATTGGATTACCGGAAATGGGAGCTGATAAAATTATATTGTCATCCTCATCAACGGATTCATTATTTAGAGGACTGGTAAACGATGGTTCTTTTTCATTCTTTCCTTCGACTTTTTTACCTGATTAATTATAGAGGAAAAATAAAATTTGTTTTTTTTTTACTTTTTGGTTTAATTAATTCTGATTTTGCATACCCAAAACAACCAGAGGAGCCTTAGTCGAAATACTTCCTTCATCGTTAACAGCTGTGGCTTCGATTTCTCCAGCATTTTCAGGAGTACATTTATTTAATATCAATACTTCACTTCCATCGGGTTCCGACTTGATAATAATATTTTCACCATCGGGTACTATTTCCTTTCCGTTATGAGACCTACGATTTATTAATATTTTCATCAAAAATGAAATTAATTTAAAATTATTTAAAATGTCGGGGGGTAATATTTACCATTTTATGGCAGGTTTAGGATTGCCACTTGCTTTGACAGAAAATTTGACGGGAGATCCCTCGACGGCGGTAACAGGTAAAAGGGTAGAATCAAATTTTGGTTTTTTAGGAGCTTCCATAACTTCAACTTTAGCTTCTTGCGATGCTTCTCCTAATTTGTTACTAACTTTTACTGAATAAACTCCAGCATTTTCGGGTTTTAAAGAATTTATTTTTAATTTTAATGTTCCATCTTTTTCATTAAAACTAGTTTCACCTTGACTGGGCTTTAAAGGAACGCCATCTTTGTACCTGCAGCAAAAAAAAAAATTGTTTTTGATTGCTTTAATTTAAAATTTAAAAAAAAAAATTTATATTAAAATTAGGAGGTTACCATTTGATTTCTGGAGGAGGGTAACACGTTATTTTTGCTTGCAGTTGTATTGGGTTTCCTTCTTTTTCTGAAACATCTTTTAAACCTTCCACGAATTTTGGTTTACTACTTTTCGCTGGAGAAAAAAATAATTTCACGATTATAAAAGCCAATAATTTAAACCGTTAAAAATGTTTTTATTAAAACTTACGCTCCACGGTGACGGCGCAATGTCCCGTTTTTTTCCCGTTTGGATTTTCAGCATCCAGAGTGTACAAGCCACCTTTTTCTGGAGTCATGTTTTCTATAGAAAGTTTTACAACACCGTTGGGAAGTTCTGTAATTTTAACATCACCGCCTGGAACTAAAGGTTCTCCGTCTTTGGACCATTTTAATGTAGGTTTGGGACTTCCAGACACTTTGCAAGTCAATTCCAATAAATCTCCCACTTCTAAACTTTTCGGCAAACCTTTTTCGAAAACTGGAGCAATTTGACTCATATTCAATTTAAATTTATTTTCTGCTGTGCCCATGGCATTCGTTGCTGTTACTTTATACTAAAATTAAAATAAATAATATTTAAAATTTTTATTTGTTAAAATTCAATGAGTTATTGGAAATTTTTATAAACTCACTTCTCCAACATCGTCTGCCTGGAATTGAGTAATATCTAACGAAGTTGAAACTTGACCCTCTGTTTGTGTTTTTAACGTTATTCTATCTGTATCCGTTAATTCTTTTTCATCTTTGTACCATTTAATATCCGGTTTTGGAATTCCATTACATCTAACTAAGAAATTAGCATCTTCACCATCTTTCACATCAGCATCTTTTAGAGGTTTTACAAAAGAAGGTTTTTCACCTGGTAAACATTTTATACATTTTTTAAAAGCGTTTAATGGCTACAAATTATTATTATTATTTTTTTTAGAATCTCACCGTGAAGGCTCAATTTAACTTTTTGTTTGCTTTCTCCAGCTTTATTAGTTGCAACCAAAGTGTATTCAGAAATATCAGTTGTTTTTATGTTTTTAATTATCATTTTATAAATTCCTTTCGTTTTTGTATTTTCAAATACAAAATGACTATCACTCTCAATTTTTTCTCCTTTACCATTTAACCTGTAATTGACAATTCAATAATAAAAGGTTAAAGAAAATTTTAATGAATATTTTTAATTTGGTTGTTGTGTTCCAAACTAAATCTGACCCCTTGTGAAAACTTTAGTGCAGACATTTATTTTTTTATCTTTATATATGAGTTATCTAATTCCTTACTTAATTGTTTGGTTTTGCTTAGTAATGAATAATATGATCTCTCCGTTTAAATTGGGACAAACATTTCATTCATCCCTTCGCCATTAAACAACTTTATACAAAGTTGCATTCTCGCTGACGAATGAATAGTCAATAGGTTTACATATAAATAGTGGCTCACATTACTCTATATTCAGTCTAGGGAATTGGTTGGCCATGGGTACTCAGTCTGTCTTAGTCTGTTTAGTCAATCTAGAATGTGGATCTAACAGCATTGATTTCTACTTATAATTTATAACTTTATATTGTGTTTGTGTCTGAATTAAGTTTACTCTATTTGTTTAAGTTGTAATAAAGGTTTATAATAAATTGGAAGTCCTCAAACAACTACGTGTCAACAGGATTTGGTACATCACAAATAGAAGTACAAAGTAAAAATCTTTGAGGTGGTGTCAAGATCATGGAACCATAACATTACCAAGAAACTTCCACAGGAGAATCTGATATGATTTCTGCTTCAAACACAGCATCTTCGTTGAGTATAGCTACAACATCTTTTAATCGTTTTATTTCCGGTTTATGTTCTTCTTCTTCTTCTTCTTGAATTTCAATTGTAAGGCTTGCCTAAGGTTGAAAATTATTTTCTTATCATATTAAGATTAATAAAACAATAACATAATGATAATTATTCAATATTCCTACACTGGATTCACCATATCCATATTTATTATCAGCTTTAACAAGATATAAACCAGCTTCTGCTTCACTTGGTTTTTTTATTTTCAATGTGCAAGTATACTCTTCTTTATTTTCATCATCAGTTGATTTTACTTTTTCTGAAATGAATTTCTTTCCATCAACTTGTATCTGAAATTAAAATGATGAAGTTTTACATCAGATTTTTATTGTGTAGACATATTTATTTTATGATTATGATTTAGATTCAATCATTGTTTAGGTACATAATAAAATTTTAATAATCTTATTTACCTGTTTGCCATTAAGAGACCAAGTGATTTCCGGTTCAGGATTACCAGTTACTGTACAAGTGAAAGAAACTTCTTTTTCTTCTTTTGTAACTTTCACATCTTTCAATGGTTTTTTAAAGCTGGGTTTTATTTCTTCACCTTTAAATTAAAATATTTTTTATTACTATCAAGTTCAATAATTAAATCAATTCTTATTTAATATTAACTTATATGTAATCATACAGCAAATGCACTGCTAAAATTGATAGCTGCTAAAATAACAGTAGGGGGGTTTAAGTAATAAAGAAAATTTTAATTTTTTTGGTTTTACAAATGAGAGCTGCAAAGAATTTGCTTAAAAATTAATTTTAGTTAATATATACATTATAAAATAAAATAAAAAAGAAGATAAAAATGAACGTGCATACGTACGAGCAGAAACAATGAATTATGAAGAATTCATTAAAAATCCGTTAAGCTCTCCGCCATCCGCAAGCATAAAAAAATTTTATCGCGCGTCATTAAATAATGCTGAATTTTTACTTTTTTTTATTTATTTATTTATTTACTAACAATAATAATTATGTAAGTGTAAACGTATTTGTTTGTGTGTTTGTTTCGTTTGTTCGTTTGTTTTCTCTCGTGTTTTTTATAATTGTTTGTTTGGTTATGCAACATAAAATGGCCGATTCATTGCTAAAAGCGTTATGGTCATGTTTTCTGCAAATGCACCTCAACATTTTTGTAAAAATTATGCAAAATTATGTTAATGTGTTTTTTTTTTTTTTAAATGAAATTTGTTATAAACTACCTTCTTTTGATGTATCCGCTTCTTTCGTTAATATTTCTTCTAAAACAGATCTTTGTTTCTTAATTCTTTTTAAAAGATCACTTACGACAGGATCATCGTCAGGAGTCGATTCGCGGTCGATTTCATTGGTCGATATTTTTTGAGTTTCGTATTCTGCTTTTTTTATGTATGAGTCACGTGATATGTCGTTCGATTCTTTTTCCGTTTTATTTGTAATTGGCATTTCCGGTTGTTTTTCAATGTCTTCCGATATTGCATCATCATGTTCGTTATCTTGTAATTCGTTTTCTGATTGTTTATCGTTTTCGAATTTCGATGTTTCGAACGGTTTTTTGTGTTTTTCGGGTATTTCTTCATCGTCTTTTTCATCATACGATTCTTTGTCTGATTTATTATTCGGTGAGTAAAAATAATCAACTGTTTTTTGTGAATCAGGTAGTTTATCATTCTCTTCTATTTCATCAGAATTTGTATCATTCGATTCAGATTTAGAAGATTCATCGGGTTTAACATTATTAGATTCACTTAATTCATTTTCATTTATTTCCATATCGGCAATTTCGGCTTTTTTAGAAGACGGTTTAATTTCTTCTTCTATTTTTTTCAAATCAGTTTTATTTTCCATCCAAGTCGCGGATTCTTTCTTACCATTTTCCAATTCAAATTCATCTTCGAGTTTTTCATTTAATTCACCATTACTATTATTTCTCGATAAACTTTTTTCATCTTCGGAAACGGAATTAATTGATACTCCTCGATTTACACGTAATTTACGATAAGAAATTTCATTGTCGCTATCCACACATTCTTCTACTACTCCAACAACTTCCAAACTACTATTTTGTGTTTCTTCAATTTGACTATTTTCAATTATTTCTTCAAATTTAACGCTTTCCCTTCGTCCCATTAATAATTTATTTAATGGTAGTTTTAATGTATCGACTTTTTCTGGTTCTGCTGGTGTAATATATATATATATATAATGTAATATGTAATTAACGTATAACAGGGGGGGGGGAAAACATTTATTTAAATAAGTTTTAAGCAATCTGACAATCACATCGAAAATGTGTATAAAAAGTGTGCAATTTGATCAAAAAAAAAAGAAAAATTTCAAAAGTGATGTGATTATGTGCAAAGTGTTTAAATAAAATTTAAATTTTGAGTGTAATATTTACTCTATAATTGTGTTTTTTTTATGTTCAGTGTGAGTTTAAATTGGATTTAATCAAAAAAATCATGTTTTGTTTTACTGCTGACATTTAATTAAACATGGCAAAAAGGTAAATATTACAATACTTTATAAGAAAGATAACTTTTTAGCCATTATTATTATTATTATTATTAAATGGGCCAACAGTAAAAAGTTATTGTAAAAAAAATATGTTTTGTATATGTGATGGTGACATTACCTTTATAATCTTCAACTTGTACTTCACATTGTTTAACATCATCAACATCTTCAATTTTACCTTTGGTTAAATTCTCTGTTTTATTTTCCACAGATTCAATTATTGTTTCTTTAAAAAATTAATGACGTCATAAATTTACATTAATTTGAATTTTTTAATTTAAAAAAAAAAAAAAAAAATGGCTTGTTACTTAACCGTACCTTCAAGTTTTATTTCGGGTTTTTTATCTTCTTCTAATTTTTTAACTTCTTCTTCTTCCGGTGATTTTTCTTTTGACGTTTCTATTATATTTGCTAAATAAATTATTTAAATAATTTTTTTTTTTAATCGTTTTTTAATAATAAAATGATAAAAAAATTGTTTAAATTTTACTCACAGATAACTTGAACGTATGTTTTTGTAACGGCTGATCCCATACAATTTGTCGCTCTTGCTTCATATTCTCCGCTGTCGCTTCTTTTAATCAGGGTTAAAGACATGCTGTAGCTTTCTGATCTGTGTGAATCTTTCATTATTTTTATATGTGCATCCGTACTTAATTCTTCTCCATTTTTAAACCTGTTATTCGTTGAAAAATATTTAGTTAAATTTTTTATAATTTTCATTCCGGAAATTGGGATTTACGTTTAAATCGTTACCATGAGATTTCCGGTTCTGGACAACCTGCACATTCTACTTGTAATGTTAATTCGGATCCTTCGTCGACAGTTATTTTGGGTTCTAGAATTTTTACGAATATTGGTCTCGCTAAAATAAATCGTCGGCCATTAATTAATAATACCATAATTAAAAAAATTATTATTATTATTCTCTTCTCTTACATTCTACAGTTAATTTGGCTGTCGTTTCGGCTGAACCATAATCATTTTCTATCCTACATTTATAATTTCCCTTTAATTCTGTCGTAACTTTTTTTAATATAAGTTTGTAATTATTATCATCTTCCATTTTGGTATATTCCTTTCGCTTTTCTGTTATTTCCATACCATCTAAATACCTGAATCGTAATAACAATAATAATAATAATAATAATTTTCCCCTTTTATTTTAAATAATAATAACAGTAATGATGGTTTTACCATTTGATTTTCGGTTTAGGATAAGCATTTACTTCAACGGAAAATTCAACATTTGAATCTCCTTCTTTAGCCAATATGTCTTGTAATCCTTTTTTTAATACGGGAGCACATGTTTGTCTTGTTACTGTTGCTTTTCCTTCTTCGGTAACGACTCCATTTTCATTGCTTACCTAAAAAAAAATTTCAATTAATTACTTTTTTTTTTTTGAATATCGAATCCGATCCAATTTTTTTAATTAACAAAGGTAATTTGGCTCTTGAACCACTAATGATTTCCTACGGAAAATAATAATAATAATAATAATAATTTATAACTTTTTTAAAAGAGACACATCGGTCGTATTTGTTTTTGGATTGCGAGCTTTGAGCTTTTCATTTATCTTTAAATGAATTATTTAATCATTTTATTTAAACGTACTGAGATCTCTTTTAAAAATTTTTTTGACCCACGCTTTTTTTTTTTTCCTGTCGAATTAAAATCGTTAAATTTTTAAAATTATTTTAATATTAATAATTTTTTATATTACTACAGCACACGACAGCAAATTCTCACATTCAATTACATAATTTTTATATTTATATAACTTATTACGAATTTTCTAAAAATATTTAAATTAATTAATTTGTTTTGGACACGGGGACATTTGTCAACCGACCACGCATGCTTCATTTATTATTATTATTATTATTATTAGGAATTACGTTCAAATCGTATTTATTAAAACGACAGAATTACTCACCTCTACAGAATACGTGGCAGAATCATCAATTTTAGCATCAAATATAATCAACGTGTGTTTATTGTCTTCTGCTGTTATCTTAATCTTGCTATCATCCGATACAAGAGGTTTTCCATTTTTCATCCTGGAAAAACAAAACAATTGCAATACGAGATGTATGGACTTGATTACAACTGGAAATGGGTTCACTTACCATTTTACATTAGAGTCATCGACTTCTCCAGAGGTTTCAACATTAAAAACTATTTTTTCTCCTTCGGAAATTTCAACATTCTTTTCCATACTTTTTAAAATTTTCGGGGAAGAAGAAACGGTGACCGTGCAAGAATCTGAACAATGATTAATTTCGTTGGAAGCTGTTATCGAATACGAACCTTCGTCTTCTGCTGTTGCTTTGTTTATTTTCAAAGTGTACGTGTTATTCGTTGAATCCGTCGTGATTTTTATTCTAGAAGATTCTGTTATTTCTTTGTCATCTTTAAACCTGAAAATCAAATTTCACGTGCAAACTTAACAACGATAATGTAAAAAAAAAATAAAATTGACTTACCATTTAACATCTGGAGTGGGAGAACCTTCGATGACGGTTGTTAATTTAATTTCTGAATTTTCTTTTACTTTTACATTTTCCAACTTTTTAGTAATGACAGGTGCACCTGAAAAAAGGATCGTCAAATGTAATTAAATAAAATTTTAGGTGGAAAACAATCGCAAATACCAACCTTTCACAATCAGGCTTAATTCGGTACATTCTTCTCCAAGTTCGTTCTTAGCCACAATCTTATAAAATCCGCCATCTTTCGGATTAACATTTTTAATAACGAGAGTTATAGTTTCTTTATCGTCGTATAAAAATTTATAACGTCCTTCCGGTTTGATTTCCGTGTCTTCGTGATACCATTTAACATCCGGTCGTGGAAAACCTAAAACTTTAGCTTCTAATTTTGCGGATTTTCCAACTTCGGTTTCAATTTCACTTTTTATTTCTTCAGAGAAACTTGGTTTTTCCGGTTCTCGTGAAAGAGGATTTAAAACTCCTGCGATAATAATAATAATGATTTTTTTTTTATTGAGAACAAAAATATAAATTAATAATAATAATAATTACCTTGAACTGATAATTCAGCGCTGCAAGAAATTTTTCCAGCAGTTGTTGATGCAACGCAAGTATACAAACCAGCATCACCTGGTTTGACATGTTGGAAGACAAGAGCCAAAGAATCTTCTTCGTTTCCCAAAAGAACTTTAAATCTTTCATCAGGATCAAAATGTTTACCATCTTTAAACCAAGTAAATGATGGTTTCCTTCCCAAATCTATTTTATCACTATTTTCTAAACCTTTAAAAATTACTTTTTCATCTAAAAAAAACAAAAAAAAAAAAATTATTAGTTGAACGTGTACCTGAATGAAGGCACAAACAATTAAATTACCATTTATGGTAACAGTTCCTTCGCAATGAGCTTCTCCATGTTCATTAGTAGCTTTACAAGAATAAACGCCGCCATGATGTTTTTGAACATCCGATATTATTAATTCGTAATAACCAATATCGGATTTTTCATCGTTTATTTCCACGTGATCATTTCCACTTCTTATTATCATATCATCTTTGTAGCTAAAAAATTTAATTTTTATTAATTTAGGGGGGGGGTCAATTTAAAAATTATAATAATAATATTAATAATTTACAATTTAACTCTCGGATTTGGAGATCCTTTAACTTTAACCATAAATGTAAAATTTGTGTTTAACATTAGTTCGGTATCTTTTAAACGTACGGTAAAAAATGGAGCAGAAGAATCTTTAGAAATTTCTTTGTGTTTAGAAGCCCCTGAACAAAATAATAATAATAATAATAATATTTTAATTATTTTAAAATTTGAGAAAATTCGTGATTGATCCTCGCGTTTTCCAACCTTTTTCCACGACTAATTGCGCAGTACACGTCGAATAATTTTCATCGTTTTGTGCGTATGCAGTATAAACACCAGAATCCGATTCTGCAACGTGCTGTAGCTCGAGCCTGTGGGTACCATCGTCAGAGGAAGATCTAACAACTCTATCAGCTAATTTGTCTTCTAATTCTTTATTATCCTTTAACCAAGTAACTTTGACATCGGATTCTAATTGACATTCGAAAATGGCCGTCTCTCCAGCTGTAATTTTACACGGGGGAAGGGGGTGTGGAAGGTTATCTTTGACTATTCAAACGATTAACAAGAATAAAATCGTCTTACGTTCTAGATTTAAACCGGTTATCTTTTTTAAGAAAATCGGTTTTTTACCACTTCCGGAAATAGCTAAATTAGAATTGAAAGTCGATGATGAACGTCTTTCGGAACCGGTTATGAAAGAGCTTTTGCGGGAATATGAAACTTCGGAATCGAAACCGGAAGTTGATGAAAATTGACTGCTAGCAGCAGTTGTTGATCTATGAACATAAGTTTCTCGTTGTCCCGTCACCGAATAAGATTCTAAATAAATAAATAAACGTTAATAAATAAAAATAATTTATTTATTTATTTATTTATTTTTTGTTGGTACCTTCGTAAGTTTTATGAGATTTTCTAACTGAATATCTTCGATTCATTGTGTTCCTGTCGTCGTCGTCGTTTTCTTTTTCCAAATTAATATCGATTTTATTTTCAATTAAATCTTTATCGTTACCGTCTTTAACGTTCTAATATTAACAGAAAAAATTAATTTATTTAAATTAACCCCCCGCCCCCCCGGAAAAAAAGGAGAAAAACTTACGGTTTGATTATAAACTTGTATTTCTACACAATCATTAACGTTTTTATTATTAACATCATCGATTTCCTTTAATAAAATAACATTTTCGACATTTTTTTCAATATCGTTTATCCAAATATCTTTTATATTATCTTTTCTTGAATATATTTTAAATAGTATTTCCGGTTTATCGATAATATTTTTATCGTATATTTCAAACGTATTATTATCATCCGCTAAGTTTTTTATTTTAACTTCTTTCAACTGGAAAAACAAAATTTTTTTTTTTTTAATATTTTCCATTGAGCAAAGGAAAAAAAGGGAAAAAAGGAAAAGTGATGAGTACTCACGGGTATCAATTCTTTTAAAACAAATATCGATCGATCTTCTGATATTTTTTTAACTTTACATATAATTATGTGAGATTTAAATAAGAATAGATATCTTTCTTTCGAATTTGAATTATTACCCGATTCGACCGTAAACCAATCCTGGAAAAAACAAAAAGAAAATTCCTTTGTTGACAGAGGGGTAGAGAGGGGGTGTGGGGGAGGAGGGGGTGGATGGTGACATATACATACGTGACGTAAAAGTCTTCCAAATTTATGTATGTTACCGTGAAAACCTTCAATGTTATTTAAAAATTTATTATCGTTTGCCCTCTGCGGGATGGCTAACATCAATTCATGAGCTTTTTTTAAATCTTGCGTGCATTTTCCTAATTTTTCCGAATATTTAATAAGATCCTGAAAAAACGCGAATCGATCAATCAATCAATCAATCAATCAGTCCCAATTTTTTAAATATATATATAAAAATTTCTTACTTTAAGTAAAACTTGATAATCGTTTATACGTTGTACGGGTAATTGAAGATATTCCAATATATTTTTACCGTCTTTTAATTGCTGACTAAGATTCTAAAAACAAAAAAAAATCAATAATAATAATAATAATAATAATAATAATAATAATTTTCCTAAGACGGCGAAAAAAGAAAAAAGGAGAAAATTTTTTTTTTTGATATTTTGACCTTTCCCCTCTCTCGCGCGCACGCATATCACGTTACAGTAAAAAAAAATTTTTTTTTTTTGTTTTTTTTAACGGTTTTAATTTGACCTTGACATTGTTATCACCTGTTGATTAATTAAATGAAAAACTTTCACACGACAGATAAAAAATAAAAAAAAAAGGTAAAAATAAGATTTAAAAAAAAAAAAAAAAAGGAAGAAAATCCGACAACTTTCTTTTGCAAAAACCGAAAACCGACTGAAAAATTGCCAATATAACAAAAATTTGAATTAGGGCATGGCTAAACTTAGACGTACAAAAATTAATCTTCTATCCTTTTCTTATTCCCATTTAATTAATTTATATCTATCTCTTTCTAATTTTCTAACCCACGCGAAAAAAAAAAAAAAAAATTTTTTTTTTGAAAACTTTATTATTGTTTTTTTTTTTTTTTTTTTTACGATTTTTTTTTTTTTTTTGGGTTCGTGTTATCAATATTTTAAAATTATTAATTTTATTTAAATAGTCATTTAAAATATAATAAATAATAATAATAATAATAACGATAATAATAATAATTTTTCTTTTGTTAATAAATCCCCCTCCCCCGGCGTTTTTCACACATAAATCAATCGAAGGAAAATTTATAAGATTTAAAACTGATATCGTGACGTCATTTAAATGATAACGGAAAACGAGGGGAGGGGGTACGCGGGAGAAAAGGGGGGGGAAGTAAAAAGAAAAATTTTTGAAAATACATTCGAGCAATTTACAACTACAACTAAATAATAATAATAATAAAAAAAATTATTATTAGATGTAAGGATTTAAAAATAGATATTTACATGAAAAACGCATGCGAAAAAAAAAGTGTGAGAGAGAAGGAGAGAGAGAGAGAGAGAAAGAAAATCACCTCGAAAAATTCCATTGCTTGTGTATTATTTGCCAGAAAATCTTCTGCTAGCGATACATCTCTACAATATGATATGTGCTTATCGAAATCTCTTTCCAAACGTAAGAAAACTTTTCCTAATTTTTCCGGTTCCGTACTGTAGTAATAAATCCCCTCTTTTAAAACCCTTAAAAAATATCAATAAAATAAAAATTATTTTTATTAATTAATAAACTATGTATAAAAGTTATTGTTAAACTAAATAATAATAATAATAATAATAATATTTATGACGTAATCAAAATTTAATATCGATTTTTTTTTTTAATGAAAAATTGATTTTAACGGTTAAGAAATGGGAAAAAATTTAATTATTTAGCAATAATTATTATTATTATGTATATATATATATTTACAAAATATATTTTTGTTTAACAATTTATATATATATATATATATATATATTATATATTATTATATATATTTATACTGAAAGTTTTTTAGTTTGATAACAAAAATTTTTAGTTCATTAATTAATTAAAATCATGCAATCAAAACAATTCATTCATTCATTCAAAACCTTTTTAATGATAATAATAATAATAATAAATAAAATGGGATCGATCGTGATTTTTTTAATAAAATATTGTTTTGGTGGTGGTGGTGGTGACGATGATGATAATGATGATGATAAAGCAAATTAAATATTTAATTGATACGATAAAAAAATTTTTTTCTTTTCTTATTTATTTTTTTTTTTTACGGGAAAATTTTTAATAATAATAATTATTATGTATTATTATTTATTTGAAAAAAAAATTATTAATTATTTAAACAATTTGTTGTATTTATAAATATTATAAACAATTTTCAAAAATGAAATATATAAATATAAATAACGTAAATTTTTTGTAAAGTCGTTTTCAGTCTTTTTTTTCGTTTAAATTTTTAATAATGATAATAATAATGATAATAATAATAATAATGATATTTTTGTCATTTTGGGCTTTATCAGTTCTTGTAAAGATTTTAAAAAGCCGTTTATTAACTTAGAAAAAAATTAATTAATTAATTATTAATTGTTAAATCCAAAATAAAGCACTTATTTATTTATTTATTTTTTTTAATTCGTGTCACATTCATAACAATTTATTTATTTATTTATTTATTTTCTTTCTTCGTTTTTTTTATGTCTTACGTGTTATGAAAATTTAAGATGAGTTTAAAATTACTGAATATGACATCAATATTATCTCTAACGATTGTTGGCACGTTATAATTTTCCGATGGTTTCAAATAATTTTCCACGACGTATGACAAATCCTTACAAAATTCATCTTCCGTTTCTAACAATTCTTTAACTACGGCCCTGAAAATAAACGATAATAATAATAATAAATATGTTTTTATTTAAAAAATTTAAACATATACACGCCAAACTGATAACCTTATCAAATCATACGATGTTACGTATTTAACGAAGGTAAAAAATAAAATAAATAATAATTATTATTATTATTTCGACCTTTAGAAAAAGTGAATATCGTCCAAAAACACATCGTTTACATATTATAATAATATATAATATATTATAATATAATATTATGGATGATAATATATATATGATAAACTTACTCTCTTTTACACGTAACATCAGATTTTTCATTTTCTTTATTACCGTGGATGGAACTTTGATATGAATTTTCTTCTTCATAATTTCCCGAAGAACTAAATAAATAATTTATTTATTTATTAATTAATTAAATAATTTATTAAATAAGTAAATGAGAGACAAACCTTATTGAATTAATTATCGATGATAAATTTCTATGTCTCGTTTCCGCATATTTTTTTTTCGGTCTTATCGATATTTTATGTTTAGCAGCCGAATTATCCAACGTTGTAAATATTTCATCATTTCCTAAATCTAATTTTATCTGTCTGAATAATAATAATAATAATAATAATTTAATTTTTTTTTTTTACAATTTATGTATGCGTTGGCGATAATGAGATTCATTTTTAGAAAAAAAAAAAATTTAAACAATTAGAATTCAATCAACAAAATTCGAAAAAAGAAAGAAAATTGGCAAAAAAAATAAAAAAAAAAAA